ACACTTTCTGTTACAAATATTCCTTCAATTTCTGAACATTTATACATTTTTACTAACTGTTCTAAATATAAAATGAACAGAAAAGGGCTAATCATACAACCTTGTCTTGTACCTACTTGGCACATAAATGATTGGGTAAGACCATCTGGTGTTCTAACACATGATTTTAATTTACAGTACATAGATTGTAATGTTTTGAGAAAAGCTCCATGAACATCCTCCTTAATTAAGTTATACCACATTTGCTTATGAGGAATAGAATCAAATGCCTTGCTAAAATCAACAAATGCTATAAAACAGCGCCCTCTGGATTTACATAAATATTTTTCTACCATAGCAGAGAGACTAAATATATGATCATAAGTGCTTTTGCCTTCTTGATATGCTCCTTGATGGTCACCTATTTTGTGATTTGTTTTAGCCCACTTAATAAATCTATTCGCTAGAACCTTTGTAAAAATCTTACCAAGTGTACAAAGTAAAGATATACCCCTGTAATTATTAACATTGTCAACTGGTGGTTTTTTTAATAATGCTGCAATGATAGCCTCGCTCCACAAATTTGGAAAGTAGCCATTTGACATGATAGAATTGAACAATAAATGAACATATGGCATTAAAGTGTCATAACTATGTTGATACATCTCATATGTGATCCCATCTATACCATGGGCTTTCTTACTTTTTAAATTTGTAATTACATTTTCAATTTCCACTACAGATATATTACAGTTCAGTTCATCTGGTAAATTTTGTAAACATTGATTGCAATCATTTTGGTCATGATTTTTGAGAAAGTCATCTGCAACATTTTGAAAGTCTTTATCTATATCGGAATCTGTAGTAAGCAAATTTTTGAAATACTCATACCATTCGACTGGTGAAATATGACCTTTTGTTTGAGACCCTTTTACATACTTAATCAATTGCCATAATTTATTTACATCATTCATACAATCTCTACATTTGCTCATAAATTCATTTTCATATACCTGTTTCTTATTTCTACATAATAGCTTGAACTCTTTTTTGATTGTTATATAGGCAATTAAAGATTCATTTGATTTTGAATTCCTATAATTAAGAAGACTATTTATTTTCCTTTTCTTTAATTTTGCACAATCACCATCCCACCAATCATCAGTTTTTGTATTTTGATTCCTCGGTTTAACTTTCATGCATTCAGCTCCATAGTTAATACATTTCACAATTTTATCAACAGCACCATCTATGTTTCCATTTTGAATCATATCGTTAAATCCCCTTAATATATTTTGGGATGTTTGATCACGAATTTTGCTTTTAAATATATTGACTTTATCAGGCTTCCAAATATACCTGTCATATTGTCGCATGTTTTGTTGATCATTTCTATTTGCTGAATGTAACATCAATTTGAGATCACAAGTTATTGGAAAATGATCCGTTCCCTCAGATGTATTAATATTGCCCACAGTGAAATTATTTATAAAATTGAAGAGGTCTGATGAGCATACACCATAGTCAATGACGCTGCGCCCCATGGATGTGTTTATATATGTGTAGTTTCCATCTTTATCCCCCGAAAAACGACCGTTCAATATATGGATATCACATTCTTTACAAACTTCTAAGAAGGTTCTGCCAAACTCATTTGTAGTGTGATCACTTGAACTTCGTGGAAGTGAAAAGGTATCAACATTATACCAATCAGCACCAATCGGCAAATTTTGAATATCATCATTTAATATATAGTCACACTCATTCCCGGTTCTCGCATTCAGGTCCCCCATAATAAGAAACTTGCAATCTCCAAATGTTGCTTTAATATGCCCGATTTGTTGTTCCAAACAAATAATACCATTATCCTCACCAATTCTCCAATATGTTTTTGAATACTGGGGTGGCAAATATAGAAATATAAGAAAAACATCGTAAGTATATCCCGTCAATATTGTTGGGGCTTTCAAAATGATCATTAATTCAGACGAAATATTTTCCATGTATACTAATTTGTAGGGATGGGACGGTTCGTTTCGGTTCGGTTCGGTTTTTCGGATCATCAGCCGTCGGTTCGGTTTTTTCGGTTCGGTTCATTCATTTTAAGGATTTGTATTGATTGACATGATTAGCTGCTTTGTCTCTGACTTCACTGCTGACTGTCACTTTCTTAATCTTCATTTCTTTTGGGAAAACGGGAATTTGAGATCCAGACGCCATATTTGAATGTATTGTGGGTGCGCACAAAATAATACCCTATATCGAACCTGCGCAAATATAAATTTGCGCAAATCTTTGTATCAATTATGCCACGTTATAACAATATTTTATAGATAGAATTTTATGTTATAGCATTTCATGAACAATACATATTATTTAGAATACACGAGTAAAGAATATAGTACCAGGGACCACATGATTGATTACCGAGGGATACGAATACGCAGATACGAAACGAATCTAGTAAACGAGTGAGCTAGCAACAGACAAGACAGACAAGATAGGGACTAGGAATATCAAAAATGTTGCTGTAAAACAGTGTTTTTAACTGTTTTATTGATACTTGACCAATGAAATATTAATCCGAAAACGATCCGAAAAGCTGATCCGAAAGTAGGGCCGTGATCCGAAAACCGATCCGAAGGCTATGAACCGCGGTTTTTCGGTATTTCGGTTATCCGTCCCACCCCTACAGTAATTTGCCAGCTAATCCTTTTTTCACAAAAACACTAATGCCACCAGGATATCTCCCTCTCGTACTACGACGTTGAGAAAATTGTCCAAAATGTGTGAATCCAGGCAAAAAGTCATCATACTCAGTTTTACTTTTAGCCCATGTTTCTGACAGTGAGACAATGTCAATGTTTTCAACGAAATCCTTTATTTGATTTTTGCTTGTTTCACATTTGATTTTGCCTTGGATGTTCCATGCACATAGTTTCAAATTTGAGAAGACATGTGGCCCTATTGGTTTGACCCTTGATTTTCACCAGTGTTTCCTCTACTTAGTCTGACGATACTATCAGTAACTTCATCATAGCCATACATGACACCATCTATTTTTAATTTATCATAGTTAAGAGAGGCTCGAGTATGGGGAATAGACTTCTTAAATTCTAGCAATTTTTTCCTAATATCCCGAACACGTTTTGAGAAATCTTCTGATACTGATATAGGGGTCCCTTTCAGATTTTTGGCTGCTTTAAACACTCTGTCTTTATCCTTATAAGAACTCAATTTAACAATAATTGGCCTCCCCTTTCCATTGGGCATGGGATCCTTGTATTGACCAATACGGTGTGCTCTGTCAATGTTAATGTCTGGCAGGTTCAGTTTGTTTTTAAAAACATCTTGAACTTTATCTTCCGATGTATCCCAGGTTTCATGTTGCCTGTCCTCGATTCCAAAAACAATTACATTTTCCCTTTTTGACCGATTTTCAAGTTCATCAATTTTGTTCTCGAGTTTATTAATGCATTTCTTACTTTGTTCAGCTTCTCCTTTCAACTCGGTAACTTTGTTTTCTAGATCACTTAACCTAGTCTCCATACTATCAAAACGATTATCTAAAGTTGTGAAGCGATTTTCAATTTTTGACCATAATTCCTCATTTGTCATGTCCGATGATTTTGACCCTGCCCTAGGGCCTGGATTCATTTCTACATCTCCGGAGCACTGAAGCAGCACGCTAACCACGAGTAGCAATTTTATTAACGTGAATGCAGTTGAACCATGAAACTTGAGAGTCTGATATGCGTGATTCGATAGTTTTGTTCTCCCGGGAGCTCCGACCCCAATGCAAGCTCTCCATTGCTCTCCTGGCCACTATGATCATGCACTATTACACAGCAGTTTTCAATATATACAGGCTATTTATGTGGTGACAATATGTACAGCTATACATGAACTGACCTACTTATGTCCACTATTTGGCTGCCAATAAAACAATATTTATATGTAAAATGATCTAACTTTCTCACCGGAATTTTGTATCCTGTGTTCAATTTAGTCCAAATATTTTATGTATCCACGATTCCTAGTATGTTCATGAACCATGTATCAAAATATTGTAACTGCATCCTATATATTTTTTAACTTTTAGACGATTTTAATCATTCCCAACAATGTCTGCATCTCTCACTTTTGCACAACGAGTGTATTAATGTACCTAGAAAAGAATGTACTCCTTGTCACAGTGTTAAAAAGGCAAGAACTTAACTTCGACATATAAGTGTTACCTGATGAATGGGAGCCTCACGGGCCTTCCAAATGGTAGTAAACGAACTCCAATGTAACTACATCAGCTTATCTTTCCGTCTGATCAACAATAAGTACAGTTATACAAGAAATGCAAACGAACTGAAAAAAATCCCCAGAATCTTCCGACTGGCTTGTCATTTCCGGAAGTTATGATACATTATATTACTGAACATATGTGAAAATGGAATGTTTGTACTTAACTGTACTTCGTCTAATCGGAACGCCATTGGGACCGGATAAAAGCGTTCAGATTAGGAGGTGTTCACATTTCGAGGTTTTTTCATCCGCAATAATCCGGATTCTGAAGAAATGTGAACACATTCTCGGTAAATATTTATAGTTCTTTTGACCACATAGCTTTATGGCATTTCAGAAATTTGAAAATTTGATTCAAATGAATCTAATCATGCTGGAAAGCCCCATTATGAATGAAACCATTCAAGATTATTTCCCAAAGTTTTGATATCATGACAAAATTTGAGCAATTTTGTATAAAACAGAAATTTTATGAAAAGTGTTCAGATTAGACTGGTGAATTTTTCAAATATGACTGTTCACAGTTCAAATTGGGAGGTGTTCACATTTCAAGTTTTTTTTAACATGGGAGTCAATGGGAGGAAAAAATTGGACCGAAAAAAAGTGTTCAGATTGGGAGGTGTTCGGATTAGCCAGGTACGTTCAGATATACAGGTTCTACTGTATAATAAATTTGTTGTATAGAAATGAAATAAAAGATATATGTGTGTTTAATATATTTGCAGCCTCTCCAAGAGTTGACCAAGCCACACATTGATTCATTTAACTATTTGCTCAAAGAAGGACTCACACATGCAACCCAAGTAAGTCAGAAATCACTATTTTGAAAATTCTAATTCTGAAAAATGACATCAACAAATGTATAGGGAGATAAAACAGGGTTAAATATTACAATCAGAGAACTTCAGAATTTCCTAAAAATTGGCTAAAAAGATCAGGCAATTTGAACTGACAGAATCTTTAGTAGGTGAAAAATTAAAAATCAGACCAAAAACTGATACATGTACAGTGCATAGAATAAGAAAAAAAACAAAATGAAAACTACTATTGTACTTGTAATCGGTGAACAAGTAATTTGTCTCTTTTTCTTTATTTTTCATCAGTATAATACAATTTTGATTTAAAATGTTATTTTTACATTTCAGGATCTGCGACCTGTAGAGTTTGCTCTAGCTAATGGACAAAGGGTGGAGATATCAGTGCAGGTGAGTTGGCCATTCAACTTTTCTATAATTCAAAATGAGGTGCACGTTTATAGCTCACCTACTAATTGAACACTTAGAAAAAATGTATCTACATGTACAGTACTTACATTATTTGATACAAAATAGCATGGTCAGCATTCAAATTGCAGTGTTTTGGTAGTCTTGTATTAATTCCCAGTCTGTTGTTCCCCACTTCCCTTCCTTATGCATTAATTATGCTAGGGACACCTATCATGGTTTCAGCGCAAGAGTAATGATGATCCTTACATACAATGCTTTTCTATAACGTTTAATGCAAGGGATGACCAATGAATTTTGCAAGTAACCCTTTCAAAGCTCAATGACACACAAATATATTCTAAAATAAAGAGTTTCTTACAAAACCTCACTGTGTATAGCCAGTCAACATTCAGGTTAAGTTGTTTTGATTACATGTACTTGTAGGATGCTCAGATTGGTGGCCCAACTGTACCACAGGGCAATAGGTATGCCAGGACCTTCAAAATATACCCTGCTGAGGTAAGCACACATAATGGCTACTCATTCGGAATCATAGATTAACCACTTGCCCCATAGAGGTCTCTGGTCTTAATGTTCTTTTGTAACTTATACAACAAAAAGAATGAATGCATAAAATTGAATGCCCCTTGTAGAACTAAGAACTGGAGAATTTATCCAAAATACATGTTCCATCCAGATTTTAACTGCTCATTTTAGATTTTATGCATGTCTCAATTATAGTGCAGAGAGAGACATACAACGTACAAAGCCAAGTTACGGGCCAGTATAAGGGTACGGGTCGATGGGAAGTCAATGGGAATGTATGAACGAGTTTTAGGAGAAGTCCCCATAATGGTGAAGGTAAGAGTGCCATTTTAGTTCTGTTATATTGCAAAGTCTTGAGTGAAATGTGCTTCAAGGGAACTTGACGTTTTTTCAGTCATTGTCAGTTGTTGTGGCCTAAGAGCAATTTTAAGTCCATTAGGAAATGAATTCAAGACTTTTTATCAAACTCGTGACTAGTGATTTCATGAAGCAAAGAAACCACAGTGACACAAATTTGTTGTTATTTGGTTTAGATGATTAAATGACTCTGCTCAATTACATATTTATGTTGTCTCTTGAAGTGATTATTTTGATAAACCTTTGTTCTTTAGTTGTGTGTATAGGGGTATCATATACCAATAATTAACCATATTCTTTGATTGCTTTTTAGTCTGATGCTTGTAACTTAGCAGGGTTAACACCAAAAGGACTGGTGGCTCATGGTGAAGAACCACAAGAAATGGGTGGCTATTTCATCATTAATGGCAATGAAAAAGTCATCAGGATGCTTATCATGCCACGCAGAAACTATGTAAGTGAACTGTCCATAAAATCAGATGCGTCGTCAATTCTCTCCAGGAGTCCTTTTATTTACACAGAGCACTTAGTTTCAAAATAAGAATGAACATTTGGAAATCTGATTTGATATTTGAATTACCATTTCAAATTTTAAATTTTCAACACCTAATGCAAGTGTAAAATATAAATACGCATGTATGTTTATAATGTAAAGGAGTTGGGTAAACAAGGCCATTTTAAGCCCCACCTGATTTTCAAGTTTTCTCTTTATTTTATTAATCTATGTGATATATGTGTTTCAAAAATGTATGAAAATTTAGGTCAAGGTCATATTCCCCAGGTCAAGGTCAAATGAAAAAATTCATTATTTTCTACCAAAATATACCTTTTTGGTTAAAATATCACAAATATCTGTAGGAATTTAGTCTCATAGAGGTTGGAATTACAATATATAGTAAATTGGCAATTTGCCAATAATGAGATATTTATATTAATATATTCTGCCCTTCCCACGCAACACTGAAAGAGAACAAAAGTACCTAAAATAATGAAAATACATGTACATTTCATGATTTTCCTCTGCCAATATCATATTTTCCCTCAGGATAAAATTCATATTCCATCCCTCCCATTATATAACCTCTATGTATTCAATAGCAATATCACCCAATTCAATATCGCCCAAATATGACCCAGATAATGTCCTAATATCATAGCAACATCAACCAATTGTCAATCAAATGTCACTCTATATCAATCCAAAATAACCCAAGTATTGGCCTCATTTTATTTAAGTAACAGTCCAATATCAACCCTCTTATTTACCAAATATCACCCAATTATTCTGATTGTAATAATATCCCACTGTAAATCCAATATCAGCCAAATATGAGCCAAATAATGGACCCAATATGATAGTGATATCACCCCAATATCAATCCAATATCACCCAAATATTGGCCCAATGTGATAACAATATCACCCAAATATCAAGCAAATATTGGCCCAATATCAATCCAATATCACCCAAATATTAGCCCAATATTATAGCAATATCACCCAAATATAAGCCCAATTCGATAGCAATTTCTGACAAATATCAATCCAATATTAACTTTATATCTGCCCAATTACCAACATATTGCCATTACATAAGCAATATCAAAAAATATAAGTTCTGATATCAACCTAATATCACAACAATCTCCTCCCAAATCAAGGTTATTTACCTCAATATCACTTCTATTGTTAGTTGCAATAGTCTTGACTTGTGAAGCGAAATCTTCTGTAACCTTTCTCCGTTTTCTAGGAGAATTTACCTGCTTCCTACATATGCAGCATGAAGAGCATTTGGCCATTTTGAATAATCAACAAAAATGGCAGGCAAAATTTTCTATAAAGTTTTAAAATTCACATCGAGCATAATAAGTCTCCATCAAAATTATTCTTTGTATGCAACAATATAACATTTATGTAACTAAAGAAGCACTTATTAGAGTGGAGACTTGTAATGCTCTATGTGAAAACACTGAAAGGATTACTACCTCCAGTGAATAAAAATGTCACCCAGACTCAGCATGATATGTCCTTTCAAAGCTTTACTTACCTCTAAACTGTACATATTGTTTAAATCAATTGTATGTATGGATCAAATAAATATATATTGACATAATCCTGGACAGATAAATCAAAAACATTCATTCATAGCTGAGTAAATTGGAATTCATCAAGAGGGTTGTAAAATATGTGAATTTTAGTGTCCCATAGTAAAATCTGACTTGCGCCAACTTCTAAGTAATTGGATGGACTAAATGACAAAAGAGGAACAGTTTCTTTTATATTTAACTTTCTTCTGAGTAGAAGCTTGACCTTAAACTGAGTCATTATGTAATTTTCCTATTTGTCTTACATATGATCATTGGGTATAAGACATAAACATGTGGTCCCCTCAACATGTTCTCCAAATTAAACTTGAGGTACCCTTGCCCATGCGCGCATGACTTGTAATATCACTTTGATTCTATCAATTAATTTTGCAGAAGTTCATTTAGGTCAGTTTGTGATGCTGTAAACCGCTTTCAGAGGCCCTTCAAAAACTCAAGGGTGTAAAGTGGGATGACGCTGGGGGCCAATCAATTGGGTAATTCAATGCTACTTTCTGATTTCCAAAGAGTTCTAGCAAATGATCTGCCACAGGCCTTTGCACCATCCTGTTGCCATCATACGTAACAAAATTGAACCTTTGACAATGAAATGTTGTATTTCTATCCAGGAAAGAAATAACTGGATCATTGATCATATCAAGATATCACTGTCCACAGCATTCACACCAAAAAAGAATTGATCACCACATGTCCAACCACTGAGAAGTTGGCACAAATCAGATTTCACATGCGTTTATAAAATCTGTCCTGTGCAGCCAATCATGGACGGAATTCATCAAGAGGGTTGTAAAATATGTGAATTTTTTTCCTTCTGGCCCCCACCCTCTTTGAAGGTCTCCAGACACCGTAACAATTTTTTCTAAATTTTTTTTTAAATACTACCCAAAAATATAGACTTCAATCTATGCATTTCTGATGTTTTTTTCTCCTATTCTTAAAAAAAGTTTTTTCACACTTCAATTGGGGCACTCTCTGTTGCTAGTTTACCCAACTCCTTTGAAGAATAATATTTTGGTGATAAAACTATACAATAAAAAACTGATTCTTTATGAAATTTTCTATCAAATTGCAGCCTATAGCTATATTCCGGCCTTCCTGGAAAGGCAGAGGGCCTCAATACACTGAATATGGCGTGTCCATGAGGTGTGTCAAGAGAGATCAGTCAGGAGCAGTGAGTAGATTAAACAAGTCAAAATTGATTTTAATAAATGAAGTCATAACAGTAGAAATAGAGATACCCTAAAACCTATATATTTGAACACCTCTCTAATCATAACACCCCTCAATGGGAACACTTTCCTGCTCTAAATTTTGTTATCTCCAATTGACTTACATATTAGAAAATGTGAACTTTTACCAAGTGTCATTAAATGACGTCGTGAAGTGCCAATTAAATATTGCATATTGAATCTTTGAAAATCTTCTTGAAATTGGCAGGCTATGATTACAATGAGATTATATATATTATGATGTACATTTATAAGTTAATGTGTTGTTTTCTAGAACATAACGCTCCACTATTTGAACAATGGGACAGCTACATTGTGCTTTTCCCACAGTAAAGAACAGTTCTTTGTACCAGTGGTGATGATATTAAAGGTAAGATTTTGTATCTTAATGAAGTATAAATTTCGAATAAATAGTAATATTTACAGTCAGTCCACCCATATACCTCAGTGGTAGAGAGTGTTTGACTGAGTGGTCCACGACTCGTAAAAAGGCTGTGGTGTGTACTTGTATGGCTATGTATGATTGCACATAAAAGAATGCAGGGCTCCTTCAAGGAGGGGTTCCTGGATCTGCCTTCCATGCTAATGCATTAATTAAGACCGTATATATACGGGATACACCCAAGAACAACTGACTGTTGAAAATATGTAAACTGCAATCTCTCTGAGTCCTGGCTTCTGTTTCGTTTGTATTTCCATATGTAACTAACTATTTTCCCATTCTTCCAGGCACTTGTTGAGATGACAGATCAACAGATCTTTAGTGAGATCATCAAAGGGAAAGAAGACAACTCCTACTTCAAAGGGTAAGACCTCATTTGTTTACTCAAATCACTTTCATATCTTACATTGATAAAGCAAAGCTTGGGTAAACAATTAACGCAGAGGTCTATACAGAGTGTCTCAAAAAAAATGTTACACTTACAAAAAGTTCAATATCTTTCATAATTTTGACTTTTTCCTAAAATGTACTTTGGATACCAAAAGAATAATCTTTATCCAATAATTTGACACCATCAGATTCAAAATATGTCCTTGATTGGCTCCACGGGACAGCTTTTAGTGTCCCATAGTAAAATCTGACTTGCGCCAACTTCTAAGTAATTGGATGGACTAAATGACAAAAGAGGAACAGTTTCTTTTATATTTAACTTTCTTCTGAGTAGAAGCTTGACCTTAAACTGAGTCATTATGTAATTTTCCTATTTGTCTTACATATGATCATTGGGTATAAGACATAAACATGTGGTCCCCTCAACATGTTCTCCAAATTAAACTTGAGGTACCCTTGCCCATGCGCGCATGACTTGTAATATCACTTTGATTCTATCAATTAATTTTGCAGAAGTTCATTTAGGTCAGTTTGTGATGCTGTAAACCGCTTTCAGAGGCCCTTCAAAAACTCAAGGGTGTAAAGTGGGATGACGCTGGGGGCCAATCAATTGGGTAATTCAATGCTACTTTCTGATTTCCAAAGAGTTCTAGCAAATGATCTGCCACAGGCCTTTGCACCATCCTGTTGCCATCATACGTAACAAAATTGAACCTTTGACAATGAAATGTTGTATTTCTATCCAGGAAAGAAATAACTGGATCATTGATCATATCAAGATATCACTGTCCACAGCATTCACACCAAAAAAGAATTGATCACCACATGTCCAACCACTGAGAAGTTGGCACAAATCAGATTTCACATGCGTTTATAAAATCTGTCCTGTGCAGCCAATCATGGACGGATTTTGAATCTGATGGTGTGGATTTATTCGAGATAGGCTGTTCTTTTAGTATCTAAGTATATTTTAGGGAAAAAGTCAAAATCATGAAAGATATTGAACTTTTTGTTAGTGTAACATTTTTTTTGAGACACACTGTAGAGGAAACATTCAGAAATCATTGTTTTCTGTAATTCAATCTTGGGGCTGATCGAATACCATAGACTTTGAAAGATCCATGAAGATATATGCTAATCATGATCCTCCCCGAAAAAACTCCCCTTTTCCAAGGCTAATATGAAACCTCCAAATCTTGTTTCAAGGTGTGTAGCCAACATGTTAAGACAGTGCCTTGGGGAGAATCTAACCAAACAGTCATCTGTATTAAAATACCTTGGAGAGAAGTTCCGCATAAAGTTACGTCTTCCAGAGTGGTACACTGATCTACAGATAGGCAAGTTTCTCATTCAGTAAGTACTGTTTATTTATCAATACCTCAATTTAAATCCTCGATATATATTGGACATAGCACAGTAGTTTTTCTGATCATTGAAAGAAAGTGACTTTTGATATGAAATAATTCATTAACTGCTTAACAGTAATATTTGTTGAGATAGCGAGAGGGTCAATTTGAAATATGTTTACAATTGATTATGTTTTGAGACAACTAGTCGAATAAGTTAAAGACCTGGTCACCCTAGTCCTAATGTTAGTAGCTGGCATTGTATTGTATTGTGTCTTTATCCCATCGAACGAAGTTCGGAGGGATATAGGGAACGCCTCCGTCCGTCCGTCCGTCCGTCCGGGCAATAACTCAAATACTGTTGGCCCGATTTTGTTCATATTTTGTACACATATACCCTACGGGGGTAGAAACTCTGCTCGAAAGGCGATTTTCAAAATGGCCGCTCATTTCAAAATGGCGGCCATTTTAGTGCCGAATTTACAGTAATTTAGTTGCAATATGTAAAACTGTAATAGCAATATGTTTTAGATGTAAAAAAATTATATAGGACATTAATAAAGCTAGAAATGTAGATATTAAAGAAGCACATGGCAGCCATCTTGAAAAATGGCGGCCTTTACTCGTTATTTTACGATTTTTGCTGTAACTCGAAAAGTAGTGGAGCGATTTTGTTCATATTTGGTATGTGAATACTATAAACATTGCACACTGTCTAAAGACACTTTTGGTAGAAAGTGGCCATTTTAAAAAATGGCGCCATTTTGAAAAATGGCCGCCATTTTAACCTATTTTACTATAACTCGAAAAGTAGTGAAGCGATTTTGTTCATATTTGGTATGTGAATACTATAAGGATGGCACACTGTCTAATAACACTTTTGGTAGAAGGCGGCCATTTTTCAAAATGGCCACCATTTTAACATATTTTACTATAACTCGAAAAGTAGTGGAGCGATTTTGTTCATATTTGGTATGTGAATACTAAAAGCATGACACACTATCTTTTGACACTTTTAGTAGAAAGTGGCCATTTTGAAAAAAATGTTGAAAAATGGCCGCCATTTTAATGTATTTTATAATAATTCGAAAAGTAGTGAAGCGATTTTGTTCATATTTGGTATGTGAATACTATAAGTATGGCAAATGGTCTAATGACACTTTTGGTAGAAAGCGGCCATTTTGAAAAATGCCTGCCATTTTTGCTATATACTTTGTTTGTAAAAATGCCTTCCATGGCTGTTCGATGGGATTCGCTACGCTTTGGCGTTGCCGTTGTTCTGGTTTTCCTTTTAAACATCTGAGTAACAAATATGATATTATATAATGTAGCATAATATATTAAAGTATAATATATTTTACACATGTAAAGCTATTTAATCATAAAAAATTAATATTTAATCATATTTCTAAATTGTTTTAGTGTACATCTACAGCATGAATGTTTTTCTTGTCTCTCATAAGTCGGCAACAGCTGGGTGTTACTTTTATTATATGTGAGACAAAAATAAATTAATATATACATACATATGCATAAAACTTGTAGTTGTCCCATGTTTAATATTTGTAACTAAATCATGTTTTTCTTGCAGAGAATGTGTGTGTATGCATCTTGAATCAAAGCAAGAGAAGTTTAATTGTTTGGTGTAAGTATTCCATCATTATTATATCAAAACGTTGAAGAATTGTTTTAATATTGCTTCCTTATCACTAGATCATTAGAGTAAAAGTGCTATATACTTATCGTAAAATAAGATATAAAATTTGAGAAAAAATTCTGTGGAAAACACTGAGCAAGATTTTTTTGTTAAACTGTCCAGTAAAACTGGTGCTTGCCAAAAGTGGTTGGATTATAATGTGTTCACATTTCAAAGTTTCTTGAAATTTGAATCAATTGGACGGGGAGATAACAAAATTGAGCCAGATGAATGAAAAGTTTCACATTGAGAAGTGTTCAGATTAAAGAAGTGTTTGAATCAGACAAGTTTTACATATCTCTGCACAGGTACATGCTTAGGAAGTTGTTTGCCTTTGCCAAGGGAGAGTGTGCGGCTGAAAGTGCTGATAGCCCCATGAACCAAGAGGTTCTCTTGCCAGGACATTTGTACCTTATGGTGTTAAAGGTAGGTACTTGTACCTCATGGTGTTAAAGGTAGGTATTTGTACCTCATGGTGTTAAAGGTAGGCACTTGTACCTCATGGTGTTAAAGGTAGGCACTTGTATCTCTCCATAATGAGGCAATTTGATAACAGATTATTATATCACTGTCATATTCCTCACTTTCTGATAAAGAAATATATAGTGATATTCAATGGAAATCACGTGATTTAGTCCAGTGTAATTTCAATTGTATATATTCCGGAGAGTACATTGTTATGATTAATTAGACATCAATAGTTTGTTTTTCCATTAATGTGAGTAAGGAATATAACAGTGAAAAATAAAACAAATATTTAATTCTATTTTTGGTGACACTTTCACAAGATTATATTCTGCTAGCCCTTCGGGCTTCGTGGAATATTAGTTGTGAAAGATGCACAGGTATTCATCTCAATACCATACAAATAGGGACTGCCTAATTTCGAGCAAAAGTGTAAATGATTTTCCCTTGGGAATATCCTCTATAATGTACTATTCCCTCAGCCGCAATTGGGAATAACTTACAACTGAATGAAATTACGTTTTTTTTCCAGGAGAAGATAGAAACCTGGGTGCTAACTCTGCGGTCATCAATAGAGCGGAAAAGTAAAACTGTTGGAACAGACTACAAGCTATCAGAAAGTGAGTGATGATACATGTATTTTATTTATTGGCATGGGTTACAGGAGTCTGTTATAATCAACATGCAGAGTCATTCATTCTGCTTTGTGAATGACCTTAAAAGTGACTATAGGTGAGAAAAAGGCAAAATACAATTTAAACTCTTTGTACTCTTTTAAAGCTAAATATATTATACATCAAAATTATGTAAAATTCTATTAAAGTTCTAGTAATCAGGTTAACTCTGTAAAGACTCATTCTAATGCTGCCATGTAAGATGCCTGATTGTATCTTGTTTGCATCTTGTAGAAAATTTCAATGATGCGTGCCTTCATGCTATAGATGTCACTAAGCCAATGGAGTATCTGATGGCAACAGGAAATCTCATTTCTAAATCTGGACTAGGACTCATGCAGGTGAGTACATAAAAGAAATGCAGAAAGTTGGATGACTATTTTTATGTCATCACCAATAAATTGTGATAAATTATTGGTTCTTTATTTTTTCGACAAGCATATAGAATATTGTCACTTATTTGCAACTGTAATTTGCACTTCTCTAGTCATTTGCAGATTGTGGTGTTTTGTCATTTTAATGCCTTGGGTCTCTTGATTTCTCTTCCAATTGGAGTAAAAACATTTATTGAAGTAAATGGCAATTATATTATAAAGTATAACCACTACCAAATCTCAATTAACCATGCTAAAACACATCGTTTGCTCAATAGTGGGGATACAGGGTGTCCATAAAGCCTCTACTCTTAACACAGACTTTGTATTGTAATTGTAAAAATACTTTATGGGCACCCTGTACTATGATTGAATTATGCATATCTTACACATTGATTAATATTATGAATTACCTTACTTTATGATAGGCATCTGGGCTTACGGTGATTGCAGACAAGTTGAACTTCTTCCGCTACATTAGTCATTTTCGCTGTGTCCACAGGGGTGCTTTCTTTGCAGAGATGAGAACGACCTCTGTGAGGAGGCTGCTTCCTGAGGCCTGGGGTATGTTGATCTTTCATACAGTTATCCTCTCTTGACTCCCCAAATAGTCGTGTTCTTATATATAATTAATTGAGGTCTGTGTTTTGACAGTTTCCTTTTATTGCCCCCATATTGACTTTAATGTAAAATGATTATGTATAATGTCCCAGCGTAGGGGATTTGCATGTATTTATTTCTATTGATTCACACATAGAGTGTCTTGCAGCCTGAGAGGTTATCATGAATTCAAATTGTGGTACAGGGCAAACACCCCACCTAAAGTGAATGGTTATAGCCTATAGAGGCATTTGCATTAAATCATTAAATTTGAAACCAATGAAGTCAACAAGGAAGCAAGGGGCAATCTTTTAAAAAATTGATTTATGAATTATTTGTTGTAGGCTTTTTGTGCCCTGTTCACACACCAGATGGCTCTCCTTGTGGCCTCATGAACCACATGGCTGCCCTCTGTCAGGTAAAATTCTAACAATAATTATACAATGTATTCACTTCGATGTGGCCTTTGATGTATTCAAATCTGGTCGCATCAATGCTGAGCTTCTACACTTCTTTACTGGTAAAAATTCTGTTAGATAATATGAATCTTAAAGTGTAAGGGGTCCTTTCTAAGCAATATCTTAACTGGAAGATTTCCATATTTCATTATGATGCCCTAATGGGGTTTAGAATTTTAACCTAAGAATTTTCTGATATAAATTGACACATTATTTATATGTGGTACCTGATTTACAATGAATAAAAGTCATAATATGAAAGTGAATCACATTTGATAGTATGGTTCTTGTGTTTAAGGTGATGTGTTTACAACCCAGGGTTGCCCACATACCAGAGTTATTGAGCACCATGGGAATGTGTCGTCTTGACTCCCCTGCCCCTGGTTGCTATAGTAACTACTATAGCGTGCTCATGGATGGGCGTGTACTAGGCTGGATACACCAAGATGAGGCCCAGGGTTTAGTAGACAACCTCAGGTTCATGAAAGTTGAAGCCAAAGGAAAGGTGAAAAAATTGGAAGATAAATCCTTAAACTGTGAAATAGTCGATTTTGCTTACATGTTAAATATATTATATGCCAATGATATCACTGAAGAAAACTGTACCTTATATAGTGTATATATCTTTGTAGGTACCCGCATCACTTGAGATTTGCATTGTCCCCAAGACAAAGCATGCTAGTCAGTACCCAGGTGTCTACTTGTTTTCCTCACCAGCTAGATTCCTTAGACCCGTACAGAATATTTCCCAGGGAAAGTTGGAGTTGATAGGATCCTTTGAACAAGCCTACCTCAATATAGCTCTGTGTGAGAGTGAGATATACCCAGGGGTAAGTATCAGGGTTTACAACTAAGGTTGAAACATGATTGTCCAGTTTAACATATTGGCATTCAGTCCATTGCCCAATAGGCAACCCGTTATTGAGTATAGAATGTCTTACAATTGTCAATGGCATTGCCATATTTGCTGAGGCATATGCAAATAGCTGAGGCAGGTTAAAAGATGCAAATAGCTGAGGCAGGTTAAAAGGTGCTTGTCATGACATTTGAACTTCATTCATCAGAATAAATGTATTTGACTGTAAAATTTTGATGGGGTAGTTGCCCTGCCTACTGTATGCCTGGCTATACCAATGAATTTAGAAGTAAATATCCCATAGAGATATAGAGAAAGTAAGTATCCCATCATCTGTCTGTCATTCCATCCATCCAATTCTGGTTGATAGGTATGATATTTAAAACCGTCTTGATGAGTCAGGACATATTTAGTAATCAAAGAATATGATTACTTCTGTAAAACATATATTGAAAATGTAGCCATATCTTATATTTGAGTTAATTCATTTTCTCCTAATGCCTATTACAGTTGACTACCCACATGGAAGTGAATGAGAGTAGCATGCTGAGTGCCATTGCAAGTCTTACCCCCTTTTCAGACTTCAACCAGAGCCCCAGGAACATGTACCAGTGTCAGGTAAGATGGGTTCTCCTTTTGATAAGTGAGTGTCTATGTTATTTACAATTGGTTCTCTTTAGCTATAGCTCCCGGGAAAAAACGGGTTGTTATTTTGAAAGTTTTGATCAGGGCTAGGTATGGAAAGTTTGAAGTCAATAAGGAGCAAAAGAATTAGTCATAAATATGAGGCTGTCTTTTAGCATTATATCAAACCAGTTTTTTAAGATGTTAATATGGGGTTCCCATTACATGACCCATTATCAGTCACATGACTCTTCTCCTTTTAGATGGGTAAGCAGACCATGGGTACCCCTTTACATGCATACCAGCACAGGGCTGACAATAAGCTGTACAGGATCCAGACCCCCCAATCACCATTGGTTCGTCCCTACATGCATGATTATTATGGGATAGATGAATACCCTTTAGGGACCAATGCAATTGTCTGCGTCATATCCTACACTGTAAGTGACCATATTTATTCCATCATGACTTGAATTGTATAATATTTTGCATCAAATAGTATGTACAGTTGTTTCATGTCAAACTGATAAACACAATCCAAATTAGCATTTAACTTGCTCATATATCCTAGCTTAAACAAGGAACTACATCTATTACAAGTGAGACACTTCATTGAGTCAATGATTCTGCAAGATAATCTATGATGTGGAATGTACCTGTAGTCTGTACACATTTCTATGTTTTGTTCAATGCCATTAATATTACATGTTGCCCCATTGTCTTATACATGTGTTATAGTGATTAAGATATCATCCTGCTCATATGTTGATTCATATTAATTTGTATTCCTTTCCTCAAATCACTAACCAAAATAACTTACTTTTTCGAGCTTTCGGTAGCAGCTACTACCTTTGTCAAGATGATATATTGGCGGGAAATGGGCTGACCCTTGACCTTGTTTGGGTTTTACTCCTGTGTAGTTCCAACAGTCCCGGGGAAACCTTAAATCCAGAGTCCCTGTTAAGTTGTGGCTTGCTTGTATGAATATGAAGTGCTTCCTTTACTTTCCGTTTAAAGTAATGGGGTTCTCTATCTAGAATTTTGTACTCCCAGTTAATCCTATGCGCTTTGGAAACTATATGTTCAGCGATGGCGGATTTATTGGGATTGTTCAGTCTAAAAGCGTCCTTGTGTTCCTTAACTCTTGTATCAATCGCTCTACCGGTTTCCCCTATGTAGAGTTCACTACAGTCCTTACATTCAATTTGATTCATATTGTCTGTTTTTAGGGCTATGACATGGAGGATGCGATGATTCTAAACAAGTCGTCCTATGAGAGAGGATTTGCCCATGGCTCTGTCATTAAGTCTGATGTAAGTTTATTACTCATGTCATGTACATTGGCAAATTGGTTCATTAACTTTGTCACATTAAGAATTTCTCTAGAATGTCTCTAATGTGACATCATCATTTCCATGGTTACAACAGTTTATTTAGGAATCCTTAACATTATAAAGTTTCTGTTAATGACCCCATATACACAAGTTTATTAACTTGAGGTGGTGACATTTTGTATGTTAATGCCTTGTTGAAATATGTGAGTCACTGGGAAATAACAAATTTGGGATAAACTGTTAATAATAAGATTTGTTTGTATTAGATACGAGGGGTTATCCAAAAGTCTTGGACGCCCCGCTCTAACTTTGCTATTTTTTAATATAACTACATGAAACTTTCAGATAATAAAGATCAATATCTTAACAAATTTATGTATAAGTTTCAACAGAAAATAATATGTTTTAGCTACTTTTCCACATATCTTTTAATACCGGGTCCCTGCCACCCGGAACGGTATATAAATATAGCAAATCACGTCACAACTGTTGCAATATGGCAAATACTTTAGGTGCAGGTGCACAACCTAACACCAGCCATGATATGAGAGAATTTTCGATCTTCAATCTGAGTGTTATCTGTCATCATCATCTTCACATATTAAGACATACTTTTCAACATATTTTCCACGAATTTGAACACATTTTTCATACCACTTTACCAATGGATGGAAGACATTTATGAAACCGTCATTGCTTATGTGATACAAATGCTGCTGGAGTGCTACTCTAAACCTCATTCAATGATTAAAAAAACATTTTCTTTCAACCATCCTTTCAACTTGGAGAAAAGGAAGACAATTACATGGACCCATAGATAGACTGTATCGTGCATATGGTAGCTGCTCAAGGTCAATAATAGTGAAAATATCTTGTAGTATTCTTTGTTCCACTTTGATTTCTTTCATGTTCTGCATTTCAGCAGCCATCTTGCAGCAAAAATGATACCAGAATGAGGGTTGCTTGCCTGATGGCATTTTCTTAGAATTTGACATGTGCGGCCATTGTCATATGTGACATTATAATTAAAACACAATTAATTGGTTGCCTAGTAACAAAGGAAGTAAACTAACATGGTTTAACATTCAAAATTCAAAGAAATATAGTGGTCAAGACTTGCGAAACAAGTGAAATGGCGGTAACATTTAAGGCTGAAAGTTGCCATGTGCGAATACCGTTCCGGGTGGCAGGGTCCCTGTATTAAAAACTATCTAGAAAACTATACAAAATATATCATTTCTCCATGAAATTAATACACAAAGTAGTTAGGTTGTTGGTCTTTATTATTGGAAAGTTTAAAGTAATTTTAACAAAAACCAACAAAAATAGAGCAAGGCATCCAAGACTTTTGGATCACCCCTCGTATGTGTTCAGATACAAACATGTTTCATTGTATTTACATTACTTTGTATTCAGCTGATTAACCTAAAAGCAATCGGTAAAGACAAACACAGGGTGGCACTTCTCTTTGGCTTGAAACCAACAGCACCCAGGTATAATGAGCTAAAGAAGTTCCTAGGGGATGATGGATTGCCACATGTGGGCGTCTACTTGGAAAATGGAGATCCTTATTACAGGTAAACTTGCATTACAATTACAAATGGTTCCAGTTACATAGCAGAGTTTAATTGCTTTGTTACGAATCATTCTAACAGAAAGCTTCATAATGAAGGATTTTTGAGGTGTTACTGTGTAGGAAATTTTTATATGGTGGCCTCATATCATGTAATTGTGCATGTATTCCTAATTCATCCAAATCTCTTGGCAAATCAAGCGGTTTTTCGAAAAATTGCAGATGTCATGTTTTTGTTGAATTAAAGTTATGCAAGAAACAAATTTGTATATGAGGCTTTAAATAAAAACTAAGACCCATCAGTCAGTGCCATTTGTAGTACAGTTATTCAGTTTTAACACTATCCTTTGCATTTCAGCTATGTGAACATTCAGACTGGCGAGACAGTTGTCCAGAAGTACAAGAGTATGGAGCCAGCTTATATTGACCATATAAAGATACTAGGAAGTGATTTTGGAGTAGATGAACTACAACAAGTTTTAATTGTCCTTAGAATTGTGGTAAGTGATAAATAAAAGTGTCAGAGCAGAATATGTTTTTTATGCCACTAACATTATTAATAAATTTATCCTCAATATGCAATGTCTCAAAACATGTTTTTTATTACATTTTGAGAGAGTACAATATTCTTGTCTTGTACTTAAAGGCAGTGCCTGTGTACATCTGGGTGGGCAGATGCCCAATTATTGTGATTTTCATCAATGTATTGTTTTCATAGTGTTTATTTAACATGCATAACAAATGGCATTATTTGAAAAACACAAATTATCAGTCAACTAAAGTATTTGAAAAATATTCTTCAAAATTACTGACAGATATGTTAATTGATTTAAATTCCATTAAAACTCTTTTATAGAGGAACACTATGAAAGGAGACAAATTCTCCAATAGACTCGGACAGAAAGACATTTGTAGTCAGAAGTGGCCAGTAGAGAATATGCAATTCTCCATATTGTTATATTTCATTGTAGAGAAACCCCATCATAGGAGACAAGTTCTCAAGCAGACATGGGCAGAAAGGCATCTGTAGTCAGAAGTGGCCAGTGGAGAATATGCCATTCTCAGAGAGTGGGATGACACCAGATATTCTCTTCAATCCTCATGGATTCCCATCCAGAATGACAATAGGTAACATGATGTGATTGATATCAGTGTAGTACATTATTAGATACTTCCTGCTACTTGAAGTAGTTATTTTCTGCCAAAAGATGGCTCTTTGTTACAGCATAGAACCAATCGTTTGATGAGTGTTCGGTTTTAAGGACATCTAAATAGGACTGGTTATGATTTGGTGAACTAAATTCAACACTTTTGCACGATTTATTGATTCAGAAGACTGTCATTTGGGTTTGCTAAAACAAATTTTATAAGAAATATGAAGGTATATGAATATTTATCGAATTATCAATTTAAGAGAAAAAATGTTGAATTTAGTTCATCAAATCACATCGAGTCCTTTAGTAATACTTCCTATCTCAAATAGGATCACCACCAGCACAGCTGAAGTCAGCAGGAGTTGGTAAGGCAGCAAAGTCCAGCTCAAGGTGGATTTGGCTCAAGAGACAAGTGGTGTCCTTCGGCTCAACCATTACTGCCCCACTCAGTGGAAGCACAAAGGTTAAGGGGTGAAGTGCTGAGACACCTGATAATGATGCAGTGAAGGACTCCCACTTGTTTCCCTTTGACACTAATTACCTTTTTACATTTCCATGCTCAAAATTGTTGCAATGCAATGTTTATAGGAAAAAAAAAGAATTTCATCACACTTATCGAAAAATGATTTTTAGCATACATAGTTTTAATGAATTATGCCTAATAATGGCATAAAGTAGTTCTTTTTGCAGTTTGATTGTGAAACATAATTATGTAACATGTATTTTAGTATAACATATAAATACTTCTTCATAATCATCATTTTTGATTAATTTTTAAGCATTCAGAGATACATGACCAACTAATAAATAATAATCAGGGTCTGCTGGTGTTTAATAAATACTTTTCAATAGAACATATGAGTGCACTTCAGTAATCATTTCAGTTTTTGTATGATATATCTAGATCAATGGTGTATAAGTACATCGTTTTGTATTGTTGTAGGAATGATGATAGAAAGTATGGCAGGGAAGTCAGGTGCTATGCACAGCATGTGTCATGATGCTACACCTTTTACATTCTCAGAGGATAACTCCGCAATTGAATACTTTGGTGAAATGCTAACTGCTGGTAATTTTAATTATATTTGTTTGAGGCTTCTTAGTACTTGGTGTATTTTGATTAAGATATTTAGGACACCTTCAGTGAAACACTATACTGTTGATTAAAATAAAATAAGAAGTTCATATATTAAATGTAAGTCTAATACAGATAACATACTGTAAATATAAGAGTAGTAAACATTGAATGTTTCAGCTGGTTACAACTACTATGGAACAGAGAGGATGTACAGTGGGGTGAATGGGAGAGAATTTGAGGCAGATATATTTATGGGGGTAGTCTACTATCAGAGACTCAGACACATGGTATCAGATAAATATCAGGTAAATGACTGTTGTCATAACAGAAGATTTCTATCATTTTATATTTCATAACGTGAGATGAAGGGTCCACCATGTTAAAGTCTATTGTCTTGAAGGTTTATGCATATTTTATATAGAGTTTTACATGTTTTATTTCTTCCTTATATTTTGTTGTTTTATTTCTTATTTATATTTTGTTGTTTTATTCCTTCCTTATTTATATTTTGTTGTTTAATTTCTTCCTTATTTATATTTTGTTGTTTTATTTCTTTCTTATTTATATTTTTTTGTTTTATTTCTTCCTTTGTCTTGTAGGTTCGGACCACTGGGCCTATTGACCAAGTGACGCATCAGCCAGTGAAAGGGAGGAAAAGGGCGGGAGGAATCAGGTTTGGAGAGATGGAACGAGACGCACTTATAGCACACGGCACTTCATTCCTCTTGCAAGACAGACTGCTCAACTGTTCCGATAAAACAGTGGTATGATATTATTTATATATTATCTACTTAAAGGCCAAGACAGATTAATTGTCTGTCATTCTGTTCACATAGTTTTTTACAAAAACACCAAAATCTCACTTTTGCAAAGTGTAATATTTATATAAAAGTAACTTTTGGATAGGTAAAGCAATCTGTAATTTAGTTAGAGAGCAAGAGATGAAATCCAATCTTACTTATTTTATGTTAATTGACATCTGAACTGCTCCTATCAAAGTGAATAGAGTGAGATGACTTGTGCAGTACAGTTTTTTTGATGTCAACACCAGAAGTTCTGACATATTTTTATTGTCTCCAACTTCTTTTGTGGACTGATTTTTCGCCAGTCATTGTTCAGCATTTGCAAATTGGTTTTTGACAGTGTGTGTCTGTAATAAATGGTAGGTGGTGCATGTTTTGCATGTTAATGCCTTGTAATTGTCATACAATAAATGTCAAGCCATTTAATATCATTTCAGGGGCATGTGTGTACAAAATGTAACAGCCTCTTATCCCCAGCTATAGAAAAGGTTCCTGACAAGTTGGCAGCTGCCTCATTTGAGGCCCAGAGAGGGTGGAAGTGTAGTGTATGTGACACCAAGGACACTGTAGAGACTGTTAATATACCATATGTCTTCCATTACCTTGTTGCTGAACTGGCAGCTATGAACATTAAAGTGAAGGCAGAAATTGAAGTGACTTGATGTAGAATAAAATTAATAAGGGTAATGTTGAGATATCCAATTGAACTGAAGCATGATAAAATATTATACGGTATTGCCAATGGGGGCTTATATAAGGGATGGTTTGATTTGATTTTGACAGTTGATAATATGATTCATGGGGAAATATGTAATGCAGTGGACAAGGAAAAATATGTAACAATTAAATGGCATGCTCTTCATGATAAAGTTCTAGAGACTTTAGTAAGGAGTTTAAGTATACAATAAAGCAGGAGTATTAATATCACAATCCTGCATGGCACTTAATTGTGTATATCGATACAGCTGCTGCTACAGTGGGCTAGCATCTGCTAATAATTTCATTATGAGTTCTTCACTAAGAAAGCATTTCACAAAATTCACATATTGCCTTGCACTGCCCAAAAGGCAACTTGCTTATATCCATGCATGGAGAGAAATATTGGATGTTGAATATATTTTTGAAATAAATGATATCAACTATTATAGTTATATATAATATTAATGTTTATTTTGTTAATGTGTGTCAAATGAACAAACTTGTCTTTCATTCAGCGTTGCTGAGCTCAAAGCTAAAATGTTACATCGTCAACTATGAAATGATCCATGGGGAACAAGAAACATTGCAAATTATGAAATCATCCTTTGGAAATAAGAAACATTCCATAATTGTATGAGATGATCCATTGGCAATAAGAAACATTCCATAATTGTGTGAAATGATCCACTGGGAAATAAGAAACATTACCAATTATGAAATGATCCATTGGAAATAAAAAACATTGCCCAATTGAATGCAGTTGGCAATTAAGGTTCATTTTTTTCTTACCAATCACATGCTAATATTAGTTTGTTAGGAAAATAAGGTTTGATACTGCCTCGGACCAAATGTACAAAATGATGCAGTATGAATAATATGAAAGAGTAATGAAATTAAATGTGCATAACTATATTTTACAGGATCTCCATAAAATCTCTGTTCACTTTACACAGACTTTGTCTTATAATTGTAAAGAGATTTATAGACACCCTGTATATTTAATTATACTTTAAGTTGAGCATTGGTGCTAATCTGTGGGTTACTTTGGAATCTGTACATATTTTTGAACACCTAATATCGCTTCAATTCAATATATTAATTACCCTAACTTAATAAAACATCTGCTATGCCTTAGGAAATATGATAATGAGAATTAAAATGATAACGGAACACCTGCTTACTAATTCAGCTTATAATATTGGTGGTAAAGGAAATTATCAGCTCCATAGTTGACTCACTGACATAATATATTTATCAAAGGAATATAGAAGCACAACAGTATATCACCAGAGAATTCAGATTTTAAATAAAAACGGGAAATAAGAACTTGAGAATGATGAATCCAGTTACTTGCTTGAAGATTCGACTAAGGGGTAGAAAAGCATTATTATTTAGTCAAATCTTACTATGGACTGCTATTATAACTTTCATTGGACTTTATCAACTTGCCAATGATAACACAATATCCAAACCTGAACTACCTCGACTGGCTGATCCTGACCTTGGACTTCATCAGCTTGCCAAGGATAAAATGATATCCAAACCTGGATTGTCTGAGCCTGAACTTAGACCTTATCAACTTGTCAATGTTAACACAATATCAAAACCTGAATTACCTGAACTAGCTGAGCCAGAACTAGCTGAACCCGAACTATCAGAGGATCCACAAGTTTGCACACATCCTAAACTGGATCCATTTGACAAAGAAATCCACAAATTCTACGAAAAAATGGAACCACTACACTGCTCATCTGATATCAACTGGATTGATGTGCAGAATGGAACGATTGTCTTTCAAGATGAAGCATTCAAGGAACATGGTGGATTTGAATGCACCGTTTGGCCAATTATTCGTGAGGATGATTTCACAACCAAATATGACAATCCAATTGTTAATATAAAAACAGGATTCCGAATGACATTTGATTTTTTCAAAATTGAATGTAAAGGGAAGAATGGCTCTTCATATGTCAATCTTCACTCTGGGGTTGGCTTTAATGCTGATATTCATCGCACCTTGAAAAAGACATTGAAAAAAAATAATCGACAAAATAATCGGGATAAAACATTTTTTAGTTTAAATGTTTTGATGTTTGGTTTCGACTCTATATCACACATGAGCTGGAAACGAAATCTCCCGAAATCTTATAAATATTTCACAGAAATCCTCAAAGGGAATGTTCTGCAAGGATATAACATCGCAGGGGATGGAACTCCCCAAAATCTGCTTCCAATATTGACAGGAAAGACAGAGAAAGAACTCCCCGAGGCACGTCGAGGCCATGAGGGAGCACAACCAGTAGATGGTCACCCATGGATTTGGAAACAATATGCAAAGAAGGGCTATGTAACTCAGTATGGGGAAGATGACCCACAGATCGGAGCATTTCATTATAGAATGCTTGGCTTCAAAGAACAACCTACACATCATTATCTTCGACCATTTTATATGAAGGTCAACAGTGAGGCTGATAAACTACAACATGGCTGTCTTGGGTCAGTACCCAGGCATGTCAATATGCTAAACTGGATGCGACACAGTTATACTATGTACAGAGATACCCCTAAGTTTATGTTTACATTCCATGGTGAGCTCAGCCATGGCAATATGAATGGAATACAGGTGGTGGATGAAGACCTTCGTGATTGGTTGAAGCACATGAATGAACAACAGTACTTTGAAAACACGGCTTTGATTCTTATGAGCGATCATGGTGTTCGATTCTCTGAGATACGACAGTCAGTACAAGGTAAACTTGAAGAACGATTACCTTTTTTTGGTTTACGATTTCCAAACTGGTTCAAAAACCGTTACTCAAAAGCCATAAAGAATCTAGAAATTAACCAACAACGTCTTACTACACCATTTGACATTCATGAAACTCTAGAACATTTGCTGAATATGGAAGATAGAGATGATACAGAGACATCTAAGAGAGGTATCAGTCTATTTCAGGAGATCCCTAAGTCGCGATCGTGCCAGGATGCAGATATTGAAGCTCATTGGTGCGCATGTCTCAACTGGAACCCAGTTCCAAATGACAACCCAGCAGTGGTAAAAGCAGTCAGTACACTCCTTAAAAGGATCAACCGTCTAACAGCCCTACAAAGATCTAAATGTGCTCCATTGAGCATTGAGCTCATCGTAAATGCAGTGGAGCTTAAACCAAACACAAACCTCTTAAAATTCAAACAGAGTCTGGATATTGATGGACGTATTCCTGATTTGTCTGATAACCTTGCATCAACAGAAATCCTTTACCAGGTAACCGTAGTAACCAAACCTGGTGGTGGCCATTTTGAATCCACGATTATACACTCTTCAGGAGAAGATACTTATAAAGTTGAGGATAGACAGATCAGTAGGATTAATAAATATGGGAATGACCCTCATTGTATAGTTGACACGTTCCCACATCTAAGTCCATACTGCTATTGCAATAAGCCAAAATAATATCAACTCTGGATTTTAATATTATTATGCATTGAGAATGGTGTGGAGATATTTTGAAATGTCTTAATATTATGATAATATACGGTATACGAGGGTTGTCCCAGAAGTAATGCATTACATGCTCTAACTTTATTTACTGTTCTTCAATAACCCAGATGCGAGTAGAAATAATCTTGATTTACGTCATTAAAAATTCAAAATTCAGTCAAAGTAATATCATATTTGAAATCTACATGTAAAATTACATCTAGAAATGTGGTTTTAAAAAGTGTTTATCAACTTTGAAAAATTACTTTTCTTTGAAAATGTGACTTCTAGCTCGGGGAGATTCCCCATAGACCCCATGCTATAAAATCACAAAAAATGAAATATCTTTTCTTTTAATGGACAGATAATATTTTGCTTTACTGGACATATTTTCATTAGAATAAGTATTAGACACATAAGGGTTATATGAAAATTGAGCCACTTAAATTGATAATATTCAAGTTTAAGGGAACTTTCTTATATACCTGCCATGTTAATTGACCCGAATCAGCCACCTGGTGGTGAAACTGGTAACTACCTACTCGCATTTGGGTAATTCAGCTGAAATGTTGTGTATATTACAATTGAAGTTTTATCTGTCATATCCCGAAGTTTCAGCATCAAACATTAATATTAAGTTAATTAATTAATATCATTGTAATTTAGTATCTTAAAATGTATTTTTGAGCATATTTCTTAAAGCTACACAAAATGGTATTTGTTGATTAATTATTTCATATTTTCAACTTTTTATTCCTTTTGATGTGACTGTATAACATGCCCCACCCTACCCAAACTCACCAACTTGATTTTATTATAACATCGATATGGTTTTATCAGTCAACATTTTTAGAATAATCAAGATGTCTCTAAGGAACATTTACTGAAAATTTCATAGAAAAATATCCATTATTGATAAAGTTAAAACATATCGTGCATTAGTTCTGGGACAACCCTCGTATATGTACATATACATGTAAATGAATATTTTGTTGCTGTTTATCGAAACCACAGTGGCCATTATCAAAGATCAGCAGGATATCTCATATTCATCCTAGAACAAGGAGTCCTTGAGGGGTCTGTCTGATTTCCTGTAGAGGCCAATGTGGCAAAACAACTGTATTCAAATATAAGTTTAATTCTTTATAATGTGAATGGAGGATTTCAACATTTTTGTATCCTCAGGTCTTAATACTCCTTAAGTCAGTTTAATTCAGAGTAAAAACTGAAGATTCTATGATTAGTGACACAATAATTACACGATGTAATAAATGACAAGTGCTTAAGAAAGCACAAAACTTGGTGACTGCTATTTTGATTGGTTAGCTTGATTTTGAACAATCATATTCCATTATTTTGATTGAGAAGGCTAAATCAAAGGATTGTTGTCTAACTCAATTTTCCCCATTTAGACAGTAATATTCCATTAAATCCAGCATATGGGGTCTATGTATCCTAGCTTATTAGATATGGCAGGGCATGCTCTAAATATTTAGATTTTAAGTCAAGACACAGTACTTTAGTGATCAAACTGTTAGGTCAAGGTTATAATTCTATAAAGCTTAAGAAATTCTTTCTGGGCTTTGCTGAAAAATACAAATCATTAATTTCGAAGTTTCAAGTTTTACCACTTGAGATGCTGAAGGATGTGGGAATTGTTTAAGACTTTGGCAATGAACTCACAATATGTTCACTTGGCACCTTTTGAGGTGGATCCCGGCTATGGCATTAATGGTTGAGAAATAGGGATCGAAACCAGCCAGTTTTCTCCTGATGACCATTGTGAATTATTGTGTTTTATGATTATGGCGACGGCTTTTGTGAATGGATGTTGACCCTTTGAAACGCCTATGGACTTGGAGACTGGATTTTATCTATCCCACATCATTTGAGACTGAATGCTCTATCTTGTATGAGTACTTGTATCTACAACTATTTTTGAGGTTATGAGTATTGGCTATCAATTTCTAATTTTTTCTTCAACATGTATTGTAATGACTTCAGAATGAATGAAATGTCCCTTGGTCTTCTGGTCTTGGATTGTGATATTGATTCTTGAATGGTGGGGGGAAAAGGGGTATTAGACATTATTTCTTTTCACGTTAGATCATGGTTTTGGGCTATATGGGGTTTATTTTTCTTGACTGGTATGCACTTAGAGTTTGCTTTTTCTTGCTAAGTTCCATTACAACTTTTGGTCCTTTCCCTTTGGCACTAGTGCTTATATAATCAATGAATGTGGACGAAGCTCTCTTTTAAACAAACTGGTGAAATCAATGTCTCCAGTATAGTTTTAAATTAATGCTTAAATCCTGCTCTTAAGGTTCAATTCAATAAATTGAATTATTATTATTATTACTAAAATATGCATACTTCTTTGTTTCTTAAATTCATTTTGTTTATTTGATCCTTCTAATACATATTCACAATCTTCTAAACTTCCACAGAAAATAACTTATGATAATCATAATCTTTTTTATTTATGTATCTATAATTTCAAACACTAAAACATGCAATTTGTTCAACCTTGTGCCGATCAAAATATTCCAATCCAACTCTAAACATTTGGTGTTTTGTATTAAACCAGATATGCTTTTCTGTTTAAATGAATCCAACAGATGCGATGGAATATCATCGTGAACTTTAGTTCTTGTGTTTTATCGATAGAAGCTTTACTTCTATTTGATGGTGCATTTGAATCCATTGATTTTCTCCACTTAGTCGCATCCATTCATCAAGTGTCCTCAATTATCAATTATCTCATCAGTTCCACATCTAGTCATACGCTTAAGGTGACAGAATGTTTGTTAAAGATGGCACAGTGATTCTTCCATCTTTAGATTGGCCTGAACCAAAAGATCTCAATTTTCCATATTTAGAATGTTGAGTCAGTGATGTTAGATTTATTCCCATTTTGGCTTCAGTTCCACACTGTTTAACTCCACTCAATGCTTTAAACTCTCTATTCTCCTCAATTTCCCCACTCCAATGCTTTAACCATTCTCCTCAATTTTCCCACTCCAATGCTTTAACCTCTCTATTCTCCTCAATTTCCCCACTCCAATGCTTTAACCTCTCTATTCTCCTCAATTTCCCCACTCCAATGCTTTAACCTCTCTATTCTCCTCAATTTCCCCACTCCAATGCTTTAACCTCTCTATTCTCCTCAATTTCCCCACTCCAATGCTTTAACCTCTCTATTCTCCTCAATTTCCCCACTCCAATGCTTTATCCTCTCTATTCTCCTCAATTTCCCCACTCCAATGCTTTAACCTCTCTATTCTCCTCAATTTCCCCACTCCAATGCTTTAACCATTCTCCTCAATTTTCCCACTCCAATGCTTTAACCTCTCTATTCTCCTCAATTTCCCCACTCCAATGCTTTAACCTCTCTATTCTCCTCAATTTCCCCATGCCAATGCTTTAACCATTCTCCTCAATTTCCCCACTCCAATGCTTTAACCTCTCTATTCTCAATTTTCCCCACTCCTATGCTTTAACCTCTCTATTCTCCTCAATTTCCCCACTCCAATGCTTTAACAAACTCCTCTTCTGAAAACTGCAACATCTTAGCTGCCTCTATGTGCATCTGGAAACAAAGAAATTCATTCACATAATTTTACCAACATGTGTTTGGAGAATACATTCATATTATACAAGGATGAAATTCACTTAGTCACAGTGGACTAAGAACAATAAAATAAAATGAACAAAAGTACAAGCATTTGCCATTGTACAGGGTGACAAAAAAAAACTGGAACCCATAAATCATCAAATTTCTCGGAAAGTATTATACCAACATTCTTCATTTTTTCAGGGTAGAAACTAGACTGAATGCATGACAAAATGACACAATAATGAGTACTGTAGCTTAGATATTAATCATGCCATGGACGACAGAAGAAAAGACTTATATTGTGAGAAAGTATATCGAGACAAAATCCTATAAAGAGACACAAACTGCCTATATGAGAGATCACGGGGCAAGAAGAGCCCGTTGAAAGTCACAGATCTTTAGGCTTGTACAGAAGTTTGATTCAGAAGGAACTGAGAAACCAACAAAGAAGATAAGTGATGGTAAACCAACCTATTCGGGGAGAGAGAGGTCTGTCAGAACTCAAGACAACTCAACAGTCAACTCAGAACGTTACATCCCTAACGTTCAAAAGTTTCGGAGAGCTCTGGGTAGACGACGTGACTTGAGAAGGGACCAGCAATGGTTCCAACAAGATGGTGCCACACCCCACACCTCAAATGAGTCCATTCGATGGCTTCAGGCTCACTTTGGCGATCAATTAATCAGTCACCATACCCGCCACATCTGCCCCCCACTCCCCTGATTGAACCCCCTAGATTTTTATCTGTGTGGTATCTCAAGGATAATGTGTATACAGATAGTCCACTGACCATTGATGACCTCAAACTCAATATTGGAAGACTAATTAGAGAGATAGACAGAGATTAATGCAGTCGGGTCATTGACAATTTTGCAAGAAGAATCCAGCTCTGCATCAAACGTCGTGGTGCACATTTGGAGCACATTATCTAATCGTGCCTCATTTGGAGACTAATTGGGCTAGAATGCTAAAACTTTGACATCGTGTCATACATTCAGTTGACTATACATGTACCAAATAACTAAGCTCAATATGCATCATTGACGAAGTTGTTAAGACTTAAGTGGGTTCCAGTTTTTTTTTGTCACCCTGTACCACAGAAAGCTGTTAATCTTTTTTTGTAAATGAATTTGCATTTTCTTGAGTGGTTATCCTTTCTTCATCTTTCAATGTATCATTTACCTTCTGGCGTTTAAGTACATCAATCAGCTTCAATTGTTTCTTGAATCCTGTCATCAGTTCATTTTTCTGTTTTTCTAAGCGTTTATTCTCCGCCATGAGTTGATCAAGTCTACGTTTTTCCTGATCAGTAGTCTCCTGAAATATACAGAGAATCACCCTGAATCCACATTAACACTAACCAGGCATTTAGCTCAAAAAAAGCTCAGAATGGTGAAAAACTGCATCCTTTTGAAAGATTTTTTTCCAGGGGGAACCCATGGAACCTCATCCTATGGCTACAGGCCTGAACCTCTGTCTATAACAAATCATTTTACAGTTTTGATGGCAAAAAGATCTTAATGAACTCGAATGGAGCTTCTGCTGACCATTTTGTGGGAATTTGAATGTGAAATGAGTATTATTCACTTATGCATAAAATACAAAATACCCAATGCTATTACATACTAATGACGTTGTAGTCAATTTACAGCTTGAACATTAACCTATGGGAAGTTGAACTTGATGATTCAAAGGATATCTTGTAGTATGAACCTTTAGAACTGCCTACTTACTTTTGCTGAGGATTTGTTCTTTTGAAGTTGTGTCTTGTATTTCTCCACTTCCTCTAATGCTCTATTGAGTCTGACCTCTGTGGCACTTTGACTAGATACCTGTTGCTTCTCAGCTCTCTTTAAGCCATCGACTTCCTATACAAACATATAGCATAGTTTGAATATTTGAAAATTCATTCACTGTCACTGCCAACATCTTGCTTCATCAAGCTTCAGACCTGTCCTTGGAATGGAATGAATGAGTGTGGGAACTGATGAAACACTGCCTAATGGAGTAGTCAATATTTCAATGTTGTACAAAACTATAATGATTACATCTATTTCAAATTAACTGTATTTTTCTTAATTTTGCATCTACTTTGATTTGGCGAATTTGGAAGATTGCTAAATTGAGTTTAAGCCACCAGACAAAGAACATTTATTCCATATTATTTAAGTAAAATGTAGGAACTGATCCAGGGGAACTGGCATCACCTTTCTAACTCCACTGAGTTGATTCTCTAAGCTATCAGCTTTACTCCTGGAATCTTCTGCAATCTTTTTAAACTTATCAATCTGAGTCTGTTGCGAGACATTCGTCCTTGCAAGTCTGTTTCTCTCTTCTTCTAGGTCTTTAAGTTTCCCTTGGATCACATGAGTTGTCTCATCCTAGAAAAAGAGATGATATCTATTAATTGACAAAACCAATATCCAGTTTCATTATTTCAATGACAATTTTTTTTATTTTTTATATTGTATTTCTTTATTTCAAATTATTACAATAAATACAAATACATTAGCGGCAATTCTCTCTTATATGGACATATAATATATCAAAAAATACATGTAAATACAAGTCTATAACTGTTTACTTGTAATTTATTAACATTACTATTATCATAGGCTTTCAATTCTAGTTGAAAGCCCATGCTATTATCTATTTCAATTTAACATCTAGACTTAATTTTCCCAAATTTTCCATGTTTCTGTTTTTTTTTCAGCCCTTAGCATTATCTAGTCTCATGAAATCTTCCTTACACCCATCATGTAATACATGTACATCATTTTAAAGCTGGAATAGAGTCTTAAAAATTGCAACAAATGAGAAAAATATGTAATTGAGAAAAATGTATTGACCTTGAAGATAGAATTCAATTTAATTAAGGAATAAATAATGATAGGCCATTCAATATGGTGAAATTCAGCACGAGTTGGACAGAATGTTGTACAAAGCACGAACCGAAGGTGAGTGCATTTGTACTAACATTCTGTCCAATTTCCAATTTCACCATATTGAATGGCCTATCATTATTTATTCCGATTCAAACATAAAAATTAGTAAAAGCCGTGTCTGTGGAACGGGCATGAAGGAAGAATACGCATGCTGTCAAGATTCTGAAGTCGGCCGGAAAAATTTTAGAATTTGTTTGGGCTGTTCTATTTTACCCCCCGTTTTAGATTTTATACGAAATAAAAAAATATAAACTGCAAACTTGAAGTCAGCCATAGTTAAATAGTTACAGTAGTTACGGAGGGAGTAAAAAAGAACAGCTATCCCCGGACAGAGCCCCAGATGTGCAGCTGAGATGTGACGTCACTCAAAACAATGCAAATTGCAGATTGAATAGAGCATGGTCGTGCATCTATTGAGAATTAGAGAACGTTCTATATTGGCTATGCTGCATTCTGATTGGTTGAGAAATTCGAATAGAGCATGGTCATGTTTGAATGAAGTATAATGTTCTCTTAGCTGTTTGAATATCAACAAATGCTTACAACTCATTTCTAGATATATAATTCATATACAGAATACTTATGTACAAGTATTACACATGTATCACTTCATTGTAGTTTTTGAGTATAAATCAATGGGGGGGGCTTTCTATGTTTTGTGCAAAGCTATCATCAAATGAGTCCAAGTACCTAAAATCTTGCATTTATTGATAAAATTTAGCAAAAAATGCTCATTTTTGGCCAAAACTATTAAAATTTTGCGAAAATTGTTCAGCTAAATTACATTCAAATGTTCCTTCACAGTAACAGATGTATAAAGGGGGTCAAATATGCTTCAAATAGAATCCAATGTGCATCAACCTCACAAAACCACCTCTCCTCATGACCTTAATATTGTCTAACCCAACCCTAAAACAATCAATATTCTGATAAAATACATTTTCCTGAAAAAAGCTATGCAAAAATAATACATTCCCTAATCCAATACCCAGGTCTAAAACACATGGGAGGAAATGAAAGTACCTGCAAAAATAACCTTCTATTTAATTGGTCTTCTAGCCAATATACACAACTCCTGATTGTCATGCTTGATCATTGATTACAGTCTCAGGCGGGATCATAAGGTAGGGATCATAATAAAGGTGTCCTCTTGATCTTTTAGGCGGGAAAGTAATCTTAAAGACATCACTCTGATCAGAAGATTGCATTAATGATTGTTGAAAATAAACAATAGATCCAAAATCTATTATCAAACAAGTTAAAAAAAATTCTACCCCCACTTGCTGTTCATTATTTAGGTAATACCGGGGGAAAATCACTAATGCTTTAAAAACGTCTGCGTTTCAATTATATAGCAGAGCAGAGAACTAAATATATAAGCACCAGTGCCAAAGGACCTAAAGTTGAAATTGAAGCTATAGCCAGAAAAAGCAAACTCTAAGTGTAATGTAATCAGAATGTCTAGAATAATATTTTAGAATTGATTTTATTTTGATAACAGATTAACATTTTATGGGAAATATTTATTTTCTATATATGCAAATGAGGCATGATATTTCTGGGTTGCTTGAATCTTTTCTTTTCCGATCAGAGGATTTTTTCATTTCAATTCTTTTCCCAAATTTTCAACATTTTAAGAATTAGGTTTTAAGAGGGGGGGGGGTCAGAGATCAAACTTAATTCGTAAGTTTTTTAACAGACATTGAACTTTTGATGCCTCCCCTTAAGTATATTTGAATAGGAGAAATATGGTCTAGCTTCAGGTACCCTGTCACCCCTCCCCTCGCCTTCCCACATTGTCATGTGTTGGTGAAGTAGATTGACGCAAGATTAACAGAAATGTACATCATGATAAACCATGGCACCTAATTCTCAGTAATGCATGGGCAAAGCCTCCCCCACCAGAACAAAAAAGCAGTTTTGTAAAATTTGTTGAAAAATATTAACAAATCAGTCCAGGGGGTTCAGGAGGTCGTTCAAATCACACTTCAAGACTTTGGACATCCCCCCTATAGACTACTACCTACTAGTGCCACTACAAGGGCTTGTAGCTATATGGGCGTATAACTTATGTAATTAAAATGTCTAGAATAATACATCAATCTGATTATTTTATGGGAAATAATTATTTCATATGCAAATCAGGCAAGATAATTCTTCGTTGCTAGAATCATTTCATTGATTTATTGCTTCAGGCCCCCTACCCTCCACCAGAGAGTTTCATGAAGTATTCTGTGTATTTCAAGGCTGACTTTCACATGCTTTTTATGTAATTATAATGTCTACTTATCTTTATCATTTCTTTGATAAGTCAATTGTAAAATCTTTTACATAAATAAACCCTAATCAACAGGTGTGAAAATTATTTATATTTTATGCAAATTAGATCATGATCCTTTACGCAATCTTGAAAGAGCAAGATTATGTAAGATCATAGAAATCAGTGAGACAAGATTATTTATGTCCAAGAGACACTCTTTGATCAGAATATTTATTTTTTATGCAAATGAGCAACCTGGACATTATGTCTCCCGCCTTTCCACCAGAAGGGTATAAATACCAAGCAGTTTTGGAAGAGAAATCAGTTACATTTCACAATCTCAAAGAGTCAACATTGAATGCTATTATTACACACAAGTTTTTCAATCAGTTTCAAGTTGAAGAAGGCTGACCAGTGAACCAATAATGGATATGAATAACAACAACATGATGCCAATCCAGAGAAACATAACACAAGAATTTAGGAGCGCAATGAACACTGATACTGTCAAGGAAGGATCATCGCAATGTCCCCAAATCTCCCAGGGATCAACATCTAGTTCTGGCCGCATGGATTCAGCATCTGAATCTCACACTTCAAACCGTGATTCTCCTCTCATAGAATCAGAAACAGGAGAGCATCAACGTCACATGTCTGAGGAGGAACAGAAGCGCAAGGAGAGACGTAATCTTGTTAATTTCAGACAGCGAGATCTGACTCGAAGACACCGCGTCTTGTTTGATAAGCTTCGTGTTCGTCTTCCAGTACAACCAAGCTGCTATGTTACAAAGGAAAGAACTCTTGATATGGCGCTAGACTATATCAACTACCTGGAATCACTCCTAGGCATCAACCAGCCAACGCAACACCAAATAGCAGGTCTCGCTCCTCCCCCAGGCAGGAGAATGGACTATGGATCAAGGCCCCTATCCTCTAGTGCCTTACCACAGACAGAACCCAAGACTGAGGAAACCATGGAATCTAGGCCGTCCTGCAGTATGATGCCTGGGCCACAAAGACACGGGACTGGAGCATTCAACCAGGGATTCGTTGATATGCCACGACAAAGACGTCACAGCGAGGTGGCTCCCAGGCCACAACTATTCAATGATAGCTATCAATGGATCATGGGGCGTCCTCAAAGCACTTCAACCCCGATCAGCCAGGCAGTATTCCCTGGCCAATCATCTACGTCACAATTAGCAACAACAATCGACGATATCATCACGCGACTAGAGTTAGAGTCAGGATCATCTGGTTACCGCAGTAACAGCCAGGGTAGTACTGACAGTCGCCGCCTCGACTCTCAATCATCCCTTCCATCTATGTGTGATAATGATGATGTGTTTTACACACCCAATCACATGGTATGGCCGGAGAGGAGTATGGGAAGCAACCAGGCCGAGGGCTACCGAAGTAACCCAAACAGGCATTACCCCAGGATATGAGGTTATTATTTATTTCATTATATCCACATTTAGCTTATACTCTATTATTACTCAGAAAACCTTTGATACACCTTTCAAGAACATTTTTCTCACAATTTTTGTTGTAAAACGAATAGATAATGGTTATCATATTTGATCAAGTGGTAAGTAGGTCCTTAGTTCTACCAGAGGTCATATCACATTTAAATGAGCTATTACCAAAAATTATTTCAGGGTTTCAAATTCATTTAAGGGCAATTATAGCTATGTAATAGTATTTATTATATGCTTCCAGTGGATTTCTGTCGTGGCATGCTGCTCCCCCTTATAGGAGTACGATCCATGGGAGACAACATACGCTGCAAGGTGATACTGTATATATTAGAACACTGGACCTATCGTGATATTGTATATTTTGGAACACTGGACCTATCGTGATACTGTATATATTATAACATTGGACCTATCCTGATGCTGTATATATTGGAACACTGGACCTATCGTGATGCTGTATATATTGGAACACTGGACCTATCGTGACACTGTATATGTTGGAACACTGGACCTATCGCGATGCTGTATATATTGGAACACTGGACCTATCGTGATACTGTATATATTGGAACACTGGACCTATTGTGATATTGTATATATTGGAACACTGGACCTATCGCGATGCTGTATATATTGGAACACTGGACCTATCGTGATATTGTATATGTTGGAACACTGGACCTATCGTGATACTGTATATATTATAACATTGGACCTATCGTGATGCTGTATATATTGGAACACTGGACCTATCGTGATGCTGTATATATTGGAACACTGGACCTATCGTGATACTGTATATATTGGAACACTGGACCTATCGTGATACTGTATATATTGGAACACTGGACCTATCGTGATACTGTATATATTGGAACACTGGACCTATCGTGATACTGTATATATTGGAACACTGGACCTCTAGTGATAATGTACATATTCGAACACAGGACTTCTTGTGATAGTGAAAATATTGAACATATGCCAACTTAGAACTCAGTGACACAACTTGATCTTGCCACAATGATGAACAATCCGCTAGTGCATCTATTAGTGTCCTTTGTACAATTACAATAACTTTGTTGTTGGTTATTTTACTTACTCAAGGATTGTGACATAATAATGTAGTAAAACCTTTAAGTAGAACATCAGTAAATACTGTAGTGCACAAATACTGTACATGTATTTTACATTCTATAGATTATTTTACTAAATAAACTTGTATAAATAAACTGATTGGTTTAGTTAACTAAAACTTTGTCATTGAGATGAGGTGGTTGAGACTGAGACTGAAATTGGGACCTTGTTCATGTTACACCTCGTATGGCTAAATTTCAATATTGCAATGATATCAAATCCATCAAATAAGTTGAACCATATTTAGATCACAACCAGAACGACATTCATGATATGAATACTGAAAATGATTAATAAATAGTCATAGTACCTAAAACACAAAGGGCTTTGTATTTTCAATTTTTCACATATAATGTCGTGAACATGCCAGAAAAGTCACTAAAACCATATGTAACTAAAATCAAATAACAATATTTGATACACTTGACTTCATTTCTTAGACATTGGTTTGCAACTAACTAGACCCGATAGAGAGCAACTCTAATCATGAGCTTTCAACTAGTAAAATATATAGATTACCTTTTGGTTACATTCTGCAACTAATCTTTCAAGAATATATAGATTACCTTTTGGTTACATTCTGCAACTAATCTGTCAAGAATATATAGATTACCTTTTGGTTACATTCTGCAACTAATCTGTCAAGAATATATAGATTACCTTTTGGTTACATTCTGCAACTAATCTGTCAAGAATATATAGATTACCTTTTGGTTACATTCGGCAGCTAATCTGTCAAGTTCCTCTTGCATGACTCGTAGTTTTGCCTTCAGGAACCTCATCTGAGCCTCTGAAATGTAACAAGCAAATTAAGCCTTCAACTTAGATACATACATGATGTGCACTGGGAGGTTTTGGATGCATGATTTATCCCAATAGTAATATCTATCTTCAGAGGGACTGTATAGTGCAGGGACCAAGTGTAAATACACATATTCATCAAGGGATAAATCCTCCAAAACTGACCGTATATAGTAATTGCTGATACTAGGAAATATACATTTCTTATTCACTCAACTTTAAAAAAAATGAAAATGTAAACTCTTTCTCAATATTATAAGTTTACAGCACTTAGAGAATAGAGAGATTTCGCACATAAGTGAAAGTACAACTTATACGTATACGTATAGTTTAGTCGAACTATTATATTTACTAAAATCAATTTTAAATTGTACTTAATGGAACATAACTATTCCCGTTATAGAAAAGCTCCATCAACTAGAGACTGTGAATGCACTGTCATCTGCACGTGTAGATTATGCACATTATAATTAAATGCTTGCTTCCGTGTCCTTGTTGTTGTAGTGTATTATAAACACGATCCTTTAAAGTGAGTCATGATTCTTTAAAGTGAGTCATTACATAAACAAGTTGATTATTTCAATGTTTTCATGATCAGTATAAGTTCAGTGAACTTACAAAACGGTATATTTACGTAGATGATAACGTGTACAGTTGGATCTCCATATAAAGATTTGCTTACATGTGTGTGGAACAATTGACCGCAAGCATTTTTTGAAATTAATTGGCTGAGTGGGAACAGTATCCAATCAAATACTTTAACCATCAATTTGAAACACCAATCAAACCAGTAGGTTCTAGCAATTCCTGGAAACGACCCATTCAGTAGCTCAACATATGACATACAGGGTGTTTCATAACGAGCATCTCCAAAAGTCAATTTGAGAAGAGATGGTTCTATAACATATGTACTATATATGAGCCTATTTTATTCTAGACAAACACATTTGGATCAAATAAACATGCTACAATTCAAGAAAGTACAAATGGCATCCCTTTGACTTGTATTTACTACAGTCCGAGAAGATCTTTCCTGACGAAAAGCCCTCATTATGAATCACATTGTACGTTTACCTATAAGTATAAGTATACGTTATAAGTTGTACTTTCACTAGGTGCGAAATCTCTCTATTGGCACAATAATATATGCTATGCAGATGATCAAAACCTTAATACTGGACAAACTTGGGACTTTTACATCGTAGCAAACAGCTAATGTAAGGTGTTTGATGAGCGTATTGAGATCATTAAGATCTAGTTTTGATGTAATGATCAATATATTTAAATGAATTAGTTTAAATTGAAATTGCTCCATAATAGAGTTTAGGAAACACTTAACACACAAACAGATCAACATGTGTTACCCATTCATGTAAATTATTGTATATTATCTTAGAATGAATTAAATAAAAAACACTCACCCGCTCCCATCTCTGCAGCAGCCATAGGGAGAACATCATCATGAGTGTCCTCTGCTAAAGTTCCATCATCCAATTGACCTTCTATGTTAGAGATGGTATCTTTAAGGGAGAACTCTTTAAAGTCGGTCATAAATGCATCATCAGTTGTTGCCACGTCTTGTGCAATATTGCTGGCCTTGGAGCTACCTTTGGTACGACTACTGGAATTTTTAAAGAGAAGTAATTAGTTAATTATTTTAGATGGGTAATACCCTGATGCTATCAATAGCAATTTCACATGACCCTTTGAGCAAATCATAGTGCTGATGCAGAACTGATCGAGACTTTAATGACCTAAAAATAAACCACTCGATTATGCTGGTTACCGAAACGGTGAAGGTACGATTTTACTTTTTTCCTTATTTCACATGTTGTAGGCAGAATTCCAACGACATTTTTTACACAAACGTGTTTCAGTATCATATGTTTAAGAAAGTGTACATATTTGCGAACAAATAGTTCAGAAGACAACTGAATCGTCGATTTAATTCCTCACTCAAGTTACATAAACAGTTTTCGAAAAACAGTTAAGATCTGCACTTTTAACCCAAACCATTTATGTAACTTAAGTGAGGAATTAAATCGACGATTCTGTTGTCTTCTGAGCTATTTTTTCGCAAACATATACATTTTCTAAAACATATGATACTGATACACGTTTGTGAGAAAAAACGTTTTGGGGGATTCTGCCTGCAACGCGTGAAATAAGGAAAAAAGAAAAATCATACCTTCGACGTTCAAACATTTTGTTTCGGTAACCAGCGTAATCGAGCGGATCACCAGTGTAAAGGGAATTTGAATACAAAATGAACCTCCGTGCAGCTACTTACTGTAGATTGGGTTAATTTGCCGCTACTTAATTTATTACTTTTATTTTATGAGGCTATTTAATTTGATGGATACCAGTGCTTGGACATTACTCTGGCGAAAATGTAGATTGGCGTTTTTTTCCTATTTTGCAAGATTCGCCAAATTAAAGCAGGTGCCATATTAACCCCCAGTATACATGTATGCAAATAACAATGTAGTGACCCAGTGACTCAAGACTCTGATTGGGTAGGCATTTTACTCCTGATTTCAATTGGAAAGGTGATTTGAAGAGCAGAAAAAGCATTCTTTAAGATACCCAAGGTCAAGATTCTACAGATTACTATCCTGATTATGTCATTGGTTGTATCTTTTCAATATTAGTAATAATAAGCTAATCCTAATTTTACTTAGACAGGATAGCTACCTACAACCTATGATATTATCAATGTAGCCAATATACATGTATTATTAAATCATGAGAACTGACCTTGATCTGACCTTGGCTGACTGTGACCTTGCAGAGTTGGAGATCTTGGAGGAAGGTCGTGAAGGAGGCTGAAAGGTCATCAAAAAACATTATTCACAAATGAATTGACATTACAATACTAATTACAAGTTTTAAATGCTTTGATCTAGGACCTACGTAAAATGACTGCAAAAATACCACTTTAACATATATTATTTCCTAATATTTGACAGACAAATTATTTATTATTTATTAAATCAAATTGTGTGACATAATGCAAATTGTGTATAAACACTAAATGGCATGAGCAGTTTGTTTATCAAACATATAATTTTTCAAACTGACCTTTTTATTTGTTTTTGTATTGGTTTTCCCACTCAGTTCATCAGGATCCCAGTCTCTGCAATATTGACAGTCATAGTCACAATATAGCACTAACATTATATAGATCACAAATAGTACAATATAATAGATAGAAAACCCTGTCTAATCTGATCGCCACTGTGGTTGACTTCAAGTGTTCACATGAGCAGGTGTTCGCATTTCAAGATTTCTTATTATGTGAGTTAATTGGAAAAGTCTGGAACCAGGAAAAGGTGTTCAAATTGTGAGTTTTTAGGTAAAGCTGAGGAAGGATACTCTTTATACAATTTTGAAATACATAGAACAGAAAGATACAGAGAGCACCTTGAAATAACAGAGAGAGGTTGGGTGCCCCTAGCAACCAACACAGCTGAAACACACCAACAATGTTTTTCTTTAATCATCCTCTAATATAATACCAGTTGTTACATTAAGAAAATAAATAACCTACCCTAAGAAATCTTCAGTGTTGATATTGTCCAATAAAGATGGTTTAGATAACATTGACTCCTGATCTCTCTAAAAATATTTCAATAAATGTGATTTTATTATACATGGAGTTTATACAAAGGTACAAATAAAAATATACATGAACAACAGTGTTTACATTGAGAGATGTTCAGAATAGAGAAGTGTTCAGATGTAGAGGTTTCACTGTAATATTTTGTTAAATGTTTTACTCACCATTACTTCTTCTGCCTCTCGCACTAAGTTGGCAGTTTTAGCTTCTAGTTCTGCATTGAGGCGTCTGCAAAAATATATTTGTCAGTTAACAGTTATCATGTCACTGCATTAATGTTAATATTATCAAAAACATTGGGTAAAAAAATGGGTATAATACATAATGGGTATAAATATGCTCCAGCCTCCATATTGCTTTTTTATCAAAAGCTTATGTAATAGTAGTTGCTTTAGGTGTTTTAGAACTTACTTGTATTCCTCCTCCCTGCTCAACAGATCCCGCGTGTTAGAGGTGCTGCCACCTATGTTATTACGTATATTTGTTGCAGACTTCCTTCCACTGGACGATGATGGCCTTTTCGCCTAAAAATCAAATAACTTGATATCTAAAAATTCCATTGTAGGCTATGGGCATTATACATTATACCAATGGCTAATCTATCTCAAGTTGAGAGCCCATAATTATACTAGCCACAACACTAGGGTGTGTGGGGCTTAATAGCTGAATAGTGCATACACAGGCTGCTTTGAAAGAAGGGGTGTATGAATAAACATTCAATAATTTGCACAATGAATAAATGATAAACATTTGAGATTTCTTAGACTCTTATAACTTTCGCTTGATAATTTGTTATGAAAGCAATGAATGGTCAACTGGAGGGAGACAGGAGTTATCTAGTTCCAATCTTATCCTATGTTTCTGGTCTTGCCCATATAAAATACAACAATTTATCCTAAAAAACAGCCTAAATGTTCTCTCAAAGTCAAAAAGGTAGCAGCTGTCTCAAATTGCAGAGGTGATACACTTCAATCTTTAAATCAGACAGTATTTAAAAATGTGAACCATCAACTTCAGGAATTACTTCTAAGAATGCAACGAGCATTACCAACTGAGGTGAAAAATTAGTGAAAAATCCACAGGGACATGTCAACACCTGAATTCTATTGGTGGCCCAACCTGGAAGAATAATACCAAGATTAGAAGCTCATTATTTCAGAGAAGCTCATCATTTCAGGTTTGTTGGTATTATTCGTCCTGGTTGGGCCACGAATAGATGTCAGACCACATGCTATCTATTGCAAGACTTATGCCTGGCACAACCGTAACCATGTTATTAAGTGTTTTTAAGTTTCGCAAGGATCCTGCCATGACTGTGGTAGTGTTATCGTGAAAGCTTGATATAACCGTGACAATGCTATATCATATTGCAAGGCCTGTCATGACCGTGGTAATGTTAAAGCCTGATATGACCGTGACACGTTTCACATTCTTGAATGAGAATGATTATAGTTTGTGGAAATGAATTATGGGCTAAAGTAGTAGTAGTCTAGATTTACATATTTAGGTAGTTAAACAATGACATTTTTTATTACGGTATTCTCCTGCTACTAAAGGTCATTTAATATAATCATTGCCATATCGTGCTTTAACATTGCCATGGTCAAGACAGGCCTTGCAACCATTGTCACGGTCATATCAGGCTTTAACATTAGGCTTTAACATTATCAGGCTTTGACATCACCACGGTCATGACAGGCCTTGCAACTATTGTCACGGTCATATCTACCTTTAACATTACCATGGTTATGACAGGCTTGCAACCATTGTCACGGTCATCGCTTTAACATTACCACAGTCATGACAGGCCTTGCAATATAATATAGCATTGTCACGGTTATACCAGGCTTTCACGATAACACTACCACGGTCATGGCAGGATCCCTGCGCAAGTTAAAAACACTTGATAACATGGTGACGGTTGTGTCAGGCATAAGTCTTGCAATAGATAGGGTCTATGTCAGACGTTGATACAGGATCCTGTGGAAAATAATCAAATGCTGATCTGATAAAAAATTATTTGAGAGTAAACAGTCACAAGAATTAAGAATGAAACATGATAAAAATGTACATAAAATGTGCTTGAACTGTTCCGTTTACTGATTATATACACCTCGATAGGATTCCGACCTAATATATGCAGATCTTACCGAATTTGTCCGCGAATGAAGATGATTTGATTTTTCCGCCATATTTGTTTTGGGAATGTGACCTACTTACCGAAAGTCAGTAAGAGAATAATTGACTTCTATTCTATTCTAAATAAAATTCTAAAAAGCTACTTATGGATTGAACAGTCAGTTACTAATGTGATCTGAATTTTTTGTAGGTTTCAAAAGGCTATAAATGTAAGAAAATTAGCAGTGAACTTTTGAACGACAATGAATGATTGTCGTAATCCAACTAGATTTACATTCCACATGTGTTGTGTTTGATGAATAGTTACATTGTTTGTATCATCATAAAAGTACCAAAACGACTGTAAACATAACCAAAAGTTCATCAAAGTTCGAGAATAAACATCAGAGCATCTGCAGACACAGATCGGAGATTATTCTATGACCCAATATGTAGAAATCGCAAGTTGAAAAACGCACATGAAAAATCAACAAAAGTTCAAAGGAATCCAAAATGGATTCTTGTCCTCCTACACATATTGGTCACATGCCTCTTGAGAGTTGACACGTTCCTTGGATTGTCCCAGGGTCTGCAGACGCTGGTATGGATCTACAGGATAAGATCCTTTCATCGTTAAGGTATGATATAATTGATGTCAATCATTCTAAATGTAGTAAGTATGAAAACAGACACTATTCTTGACCTATTTCTATTCACATTCCAGAGACATTCATTCATAAGCATCCATGGCTTCATTCATAAATTTTTCTGCACGCAAAATATGCCAGAAGCCTTTCAATAAAGGTCATCTTGACTTCAACGTTAACTGAACAACTAACGGTTAGTTAGCAGCACAACAAAATCCAGAAAGCATACAGATACATGTATAGACCTAGAGCCATATACTAGAGAAAGTTTGTATCTGTTATCCAAGAAATTATGATGTATTCAATTCTTGAAAAGAACATCTGCTCATCTGATTGTCAGTTGACATTGAGCAGTGTATGATGAAAAGTTGGGTGACACAATGGTAAACCCAACAGTCCTGCCTCCTGTCATCTATGTTTTAGGAGCCATCATCTGTGTCTCTGGTCCCCATCACCATGGGTTTTCAACACGGTTATGGGAAGTCCTCCATATATTACTATTATATTATTTCTATATACCTACTAGATGGAGGACTTCCCACTATCCGTGGTTTTCAAGAGAGTCCATCATGTCACCACTGTCAAGTCTCTGATTCTCTGGTATTTGTCTTATTTCCAAAATGTCTTAACTGATCTGGCAAAAGGTCTTGATTTGTATTCTTAATTTAGCAATCTTGGATATAACCTTAGTATACAATGTAATCAATATTTTCCCTATATTCAAGGACTTACACAAACACCTTAAAAATGAAAGTCAATCTTATGTATCCCCTTAATTTAGAAATCTTGGATACAACCTTAATTAAGGTTGAAGTCAATATGTTTCTTATATTCAAGGACTTGAGGAACCACCTTCAAAATCAAAGTGAATCTTCTCTATCCTCTTTATTTAGCAATCTTAATGAAAGTCAATCTTTTATATCCCCTAAATTTAGCAATCTTGGTTGGATACAACCTTAATTAAGGTTGAAGGCAATATATTCCCTACATTCAAGGACTTAAGGAAATACCTTCAAAATTAAAAACAATTCCCCTTAATTTAGCAATCTTAGATATTACCTTAGTAGAGGTTGAAGTCAATATATAGAGGTTATTTAATGGGAGGTTTTTGATACAGGGTATATCTGAGGGAAATACAATATATCTACCCGAGGGACTGTAGGGACTGAGAGTTGATTTTTGTATTTACCGAGGTATACCCTGTATCAAAAGTCAAGCATTTAATAACTGATTTATCTATACTTAGTAGATTATGAGGATTAAGTATGAATTAAATGTTATTGAACCCTCATGTTATAATTGCAATAATGATAATTACAATCGAGCATGAATATTTATCTCAATTTAAAGTTCTTAACGTTTACTGTTTTTTAAAAATTCAACAGTTTATAACATTTAGCAATATATGAAATTAATATCAATTCCAATAAGGCCATGGTTATACACATACTGTATTGATGAGCGAAAAAAGCACCATACAAAATTCCCGGGAATTGCTGATGAGCGGGTGATATATATATCTCCCGCTCACCTCACCTTCCTTATATTCAAGGACTTAAGGAAACACCTTCAAAATTAAAAGCAACCTTATATATGCCCTTAATTTAGCAATCTTAGAAATAACCTTAGTATAGATTGAAGTCAATATTTTCCTTATATTCAAGGACTTAAGAAAACACCTTCAAAATTAAAGTCAATCTGATATATCCCCTTAATTTAACAATCTTGGATATAGAAGTCAATATGTTTCTTATATTCAAGGACTTAAGAAAACACCTTCAAAATTAAAGTCAATCTGATATATCCCCTTAATTTAACAATCTTGGATATAGAAGTCAATATGTTTCCTATATTCAAGGACTTGAGGAACCACCTTCAAAATTAAAGTCAATCTGATATATCCCCTTAATTTAACAATCTTGGATATAGAAGTCAATATATTCCTTATATTCAAGGACTTAAGGAAACACCTTCAAAATGAAAGTCAATCTTATATATCCCCTTCATTTAAGAATCTTGGATATAGAAGTCAATATATTCCTTATATTCAAGGACTTAAGGAAACACCTTAAAATGAAAGTCAATCTGATATATCCCCTTAATTTAGCGATCTTGGATACAACCTTAATTAGGCTGAAGTCAATATGTTTCCTATATTCAAGGACTTAAGGAAACACCTTCAAAATGAAAGTCAATCTTATATATCCCCTTCATTTAAGAATCATGAATATAATCTTAGTATAGGTTAAATTATTTCCTTCATTAAGGAAACAACTTCAAAATAAAAATTGATCTTATACATCTTATATCACCTTAATTTAGCAATCTTGGATAAAACCTCAATATAGGTTGAAGTCAATATATTCTAGGACTTCAGGAAACACCTTAAAAATTAAAGTGAATTTTTTATGTTCCTTTAATTTAGCAATCTTTGATATAGCCTCAGTAAAGGTGAAGTCAATATGTTCCCTATTATTCAAGGATTATTCAAGCCCCTAGACACCCTAGTGAGTATATGTTGTGGTTTAACAGAAATTCTTAAAATGACATCAGACTACATATAAAAGAAAGCACTTATATTATGTTACATGTAGGTATATCTTATATGTCCCCTTAATTTAGGAATCTTAGTTATAACCTTAGTATAGATTGAAGTCAATATGTTCCCTATATTCAAGGACTTAAGAAAACACCTTCAAAGTTAAAGTCAATCTAATATATCCCCTTCATTTAAGAATCTTGGACATAACCTTAGTTAAGGTTGAAGTCAATATATTTCTTAAATTCAAGGACTTAAGGAAACACCTTCAAAATGAAAGTCAATCTTACACTAGTATATCTCCTTAATTTAGAAGTCGTTGATCTATAACCTTAGTGGAGGTTGAAATCAATATTATCCTTATATTCAAAGACTTAATACCTAATGTTGACGTCAATCTTTGTTTTTATCTTACATCATGAAAGGGAATTTTGATTCTTATCTTTAAATCATTTTTATTTTTATTTTCAGCGATGATGCCAAAGCTAATGTCAATAGATTATTGGTGAGTATAGTTATTGCTTTAAAGTATGCATTTTCTACTCATATTGGATTACACATAAATATTGCCCTTATAAATCTTGAAATGCATTGAAATTAAAAAAACTGTTGTAACTGCATAGCTTACCTTTTTCCTACTGGAAGATTCAAGATCAAATGGTTTTCTGTGTTGTTGATATAAAGTAGTTTTGAGATTTTGTAACATTGTAAGCCAAGGAGGATTGGTTCCTAGGGATGCCACTCAATATTCTTTCCATATATAGGTATCACATAGTTATGTCATGAATACACAATTCTAAATCAAGAATATCCTCCATTCTCCTTGCAGCCGTATAAATATACAGGCACGAATATCGCATCAAGTTGGAGATTAAAGGATATTGAGTTGAACCCTGGCTTCCAATCCTCCTTGATTGCAAGCTAAATTAAGAAAGACATGGCCATCTATCGACAATTAACTCCTTTTAGAGCCAAGGAGGATTGGCTCCCAGAATGCAATCTCAGTATTCTTTCATTTAGTTCGATACATATACTAAGCCCTGGGTATTGAACGAACTCTTCAATAAGTCTGATCTTGAAAGGTGTCCTGATTTCGAAATTCAAAATTAACAATCAACATTTTTTCACTTCAGATTTTGAATTGCGAGTTTTGGTCTTATTACATAACAAAACATTTCAAAACACACAAGACGTGTTCATGATGTTACCTCAAATCTTTTGGATTGCTGACTATGATTTTATACTATGAATCGAGATTGCACTCTGGGAGCCAATCCTCCTTCTTCTGAGCTGAACACTACAAATTTATTGCAAATTTCTAATATCTTCAGACTGCCATACACCAGCTGTCAGATGTAGAAAAGTTGTACCTCTATATGAAGCTACCATCAGGTGCCGGAGAGTCAAGCAGTGACGCACTTGAGAAGACGTCATTGGGTCTGACCACTCGTATTGAACAAGCTGATGCTTTTCGATGGATGCAGTCGAACCTGGAAGAGGACAAAAGTGTCTCTGTTCCAAAGCAAGAGGTCTATGATGATTATGTGTAAGTTATAGTCATATTTGATTTCACTTTAAAATTGATTTATATATTTTATTTATTTTTATAGCTGTTTTTGGCTCATATGGTATTCCACTTTACAGGTTTCAACAATGTACATGAATCTGACTGTTTTTCACCAGAATTAGATTAGAGAGTGCATAGAAGGGCAAGATGTTTGTAATTACAGTTATTTTTAGCTCACATGGTGAGCTTTTGCAATCACTCACTTGTCCGTCTGTCTGTCCATCCGTCCGTCCGTCTGTCTGTCCGTCCGTCAACAATAGTGGCATGTTTTAAAACCTCTGTCGATAGGATTCCTGTTTTAAGTTGTTTCTGTTCAACATCAATACAGAAAACCCCCCTATGACTCCTGGTTCAAAAGCTCGCCTATTTTCAAAATGGCCGTCACTTTTGTCTCGCGAAATTCACTTTTAGCCCATTTCCTAGCTAACCTCTGTCGATAGGATTCCTGTTTTAAGTTATTTCTGTTCAACAATCACTCACTTGTCCGTCTGTCTGTCCGTCCGTCCGTCCGTCTGTCCGTCCGTCCGTCAACAATAGTGGCACGTTTTAAAACCTCTGTCGATAGGATTCCTGTTTTAAGTTGTTTCTGTTCAACATCAATACAGAAAAACCCTCTATGACTCCTGGTTCAAAAGCTCGCCTATTTTCAAAATGGCCGTCACTTTTGTCTCGCGAAATTCACTTTTAGCCCATTTCCTAGCTAACCTCTGTCGATAGGATTCCTGTTTTAAGTTATTTCTGTTCAACATCAATACAGAAAACCCCCCTATGACTCCTGGTTCAAAAGCTCGCCTATTTTCAAAATGGCCGTCACTTTTGTCTCGCGAAATTCACTTTTGGCCCATTTCCTAGCTTTACAAATAATTTCAGGTGTCCTACATTGTAAAAATCCATGTCAATGTAAAGATTAGATATATGAAATAATTTTGTTACAAAAAATCAGCAAATAATTGTATCCATTTTTTTATTTTCACCCATTTTAGTTAACATTGATTTGTCTATCTGACTCGCGAAATCCACTTTCTGTCAATAACAGTGGCACGTTTTAAAACCTCTGTCGATAGGATTCCTGTTTTAAGTTATTTCTGTTCAACATGAATTCAGAAAACTCCCCTATGACTCCTGGTTCAAAAGCTCGCCTATTTTCAAAATGGCCGCCATTTTTGTCTCGCGAAATTCACTTTTGACCTATTTCCTAGCTTTACAAATAATTTCAAGTGTCCTACATTGTAGAAATCCATTGCAAAGTAAAGAGTAGATGTATGAAATAATTTTGTTACGAAAAATCAGCGAAAAATTATATCCATTTATTTATTTTCAGCCATTTTACTTAACATTGATTTTTATCACATGCTCTGTAAAATTCCAGTAATCTGATTGGTTGATTACCGTGTGAGTTTTCCTGTCTCACACGGCCGTCTCACACGTTACTAGAGGCAACCAGTGATGACGTTTCATATTTTTGCCTGGGATATTGTTGATGACGTCATTACTAAATTGTCACGATGTGACGTCACTGGTTATATCACTTCCTAGTTAAGGAAATCAATATGACGTCATACTATTTCACAAACAAGTACGAATACAACGGTGTGACGTCATATTGTTTCAAAGCGAAATCAAAAATTATAATAGTTACCAGGAGTACAGGGTACTGAACACAATCATAACTGACCAAATCAAAATGCTTCAAAATTCCTAGACATGTGATAAAATCGTCATCACACGTTTCAGCTTATGTGATACAGGAAATATTCCACTCCGGTAACAATGTATCACCACTCAAGCTTCGCTTTCGTGGATGATACAGTATTACCTTTCGTGGAATATTTCCTGTATCACATGCTGAAACGTGTGATAACTGATAGTCCATCTGTCCCGCAAAATTCACTTTTGGACCATTTACCTTAAACCCTCTGTCGATAGGATTCCCATTTTAAGTTATTTTTGTTCAACATCAATACAAAAAACTCTCCTATGACTCTTGGTTCAAAAGCTCGACTATTTTCAAAATGGCCGTCACTTTTGTCTTGTGAAATTCACTTTTGACCCATTTCCTAGCTTTAAAAATAATTTCAGGTGTCCTACATTATAAAAATCCATGTCAATGTAAAGGGTAGATATATGAAATAATTTTGTTACAAAAAATCAGCGAAAAATTGTATCCATTTTTTTATTTTCAGCCATTTTAGTTAACATTGATTTGTCTATCTGACTCGCGAAATCCACTTTCTGTGGCACGTTTTAAAGCCTCTGTCGATAGGATTCCTGTTTTAAGTTATTTCTGTTCAACATCAATTCAGAAAACTCCCCTATGACTCCTGGTTCAAAAGCTCGCCTATTTTCAAAATGGCCGCCATTTTTGTCTCGCGAAATTCACTTTTGACCCATTTCCTAGCTTTACAAATAATTTCAAGTGTCCTACATTGAAAAAATCCATGTCAATGTAAAGAGTAGATGTATGAAATAATTTTGTTAAGAAAAATCATCGAAAAATTATACCCATTTATTTATTTTCAGCCATTTTCGTTAACATTGATTTGTCCATCTATCTCGCAAAATCCACTTTTGGACCATTTACCTTAAACCCTCTGTCGATAGGATTCCCATTTTAAGTTAATTTTGTTCAACATCAATACAAAAAACTCTCCTATGACTCTTGGTTCAAAAGCTCGCCTATTTTCAAAATGGTTGCCATTCTTGTTTCGCGAAATTCACTTTTTGCCCATTTCCTAGCTTTACAAATAATTTCAGCTGTCCTGCATTGTAAAAAGCCATGTCACTGTAAAAGGTAGTTGTATGAAATAATTATCCCATCGAACGAAGTTCGGAGGGATATAGGGAACGCCTCCGTCCGTCCATCCGTCCGTCCATCTGTCCGTCCGTCCGTCCAGGCAATAACTCAATTACCGTTGGCCCGATTTTGTTCATATTTTGTACACATATACCCTATGGGGGTAGAAGTTCTGCTCGAAAGCCGATTTTCAAAATGGCCGCTCATTTCAAAATGGCGGCCATTTTAGTGCCGATTTTACAGTAATTTAGGTGCAATGTGTAAAACTGTAATAGCAATATTTTTTAAATGTAAAAAATTATAAAGGACATTAATAAAGCTGCAAATGTAGATATTAAAAAAGCACATGGCAGCCATCTTGAAAAATGGCGGCGTTTACCTCGTTATTTTACGATTTTTGCTGTAACTCGAAAAGTAGTGGAGCGATTTTGTTCATATTTGGTATGTGAATACTATAAACATTGCACACTGTCTAAAGACACTTTTGGTAGAGGGTGGCCATTTTGAAAAATGGCCGCCATTTTAACGTATTTTACTATAATTCGAAAAGTAGTGGAGCGGTTTTGTTCATATTTGGTATGTGAATACTATAAGCATGGCACACGGTCCTATGACACTTTTGGTAGAAGGTGGCCATTTTGAAAAATGGCCGCCATTTTAACGTATTTTACTATAACTCGAAAAGTAGTGGAGCAATTTTGTTCATATTTGGTATGTGAATACTATAAGCATGGCACACGGTCCTATGACACTTTTAGTAGAAGGTGGCCATTTTGAAAAAATTTTGAAAAATGGCCGCCATTTTAACATATTTTACTATTTCTCGAAAAGTAGTGGAGCGATTTTGTTTATATTTGGTATGTGAATACTAAAAGCATGGCACACTGTCTAATGACACTTTTGGTATAAGGTGGCCATTTTGGCCCCATTTTAACGTTTTTTACTATAACTTGAAAAGTAGTTCAGCGATTTTGTTCATATTTGGTACGTTTCATATTTTATATGTGAATACTATAAGCATGGCACACTGTCTAATGACACTTTGGGTAGTAGGCTGCCATTTTGAAAAATGGCCGCCATTTTTACGTTTTTTACTATAACTTGAAAAGTAGTGAAGCGATTTTGTTCATATTTGATATGTGAATACTCATGAGCCTTGCACACTGTCTCATGACACTTCGGATAGTAGGCGACCATTTTAAAAAATGGCTTTCATTTTCACATTTTTACTATAACTCGAAAAGTAGTGGAGCGATTTTGTTCATATTTGATATATGAATACTCTAAGCATGGCACATTGTCTAATAAAACTTTGGGGAGTAGTCAGCCATTTTGGAAAATGGCCACCATTTTTATGTGTGTTATTTTACAAGTACATGTGTGCAATTTTTCAAAAATTTTATAGATGGCTACTTAAAAGCATAATATTTCTTCTGATGGCAACTTGCCTAGTGAGCAACCATTCTGGTGTGTTGTTTTATGATATTTGCTATATATTTCGTTTGTAAAAATGCCAGCCATTTCTGTTCGATGGGATTCGCTACGCTTTGGCGTTGCCGTTGTTCTGGTTTTGTTACAAAAAATCGGCAAAATATTATATCCGTTTTTTTATTTTCAGCCATTTTAGTTAACATTGATTTGTCCATCTGTCCCGCGAAATCCTCTTTTGGACGATTTGCTTAAAACCTCTGTTGATAGGATTCCAGTTTCAAGTTATTTTTGTTCAACATCAATACAAAAAACTCCCCTATGACTCCTGGTTCAAAAGCTTGCCTGATTTCAAAATGGTCGCCATTTTTGTCTCGCGAAATTCAATTTTGGCCCATTTCCTAGCTTTACAAATAATTTCAGGTGTCTTGCATTGCAAAAAGCCATGTCACTGTAAAGAGTAGTTGTATGAAATAATTTTGTTACAAATTATTGGCAAAAAATTATATCCGTTTTTTTCAACCATTTTAATTGACTGAGAGACAGATGGCTTGAAATAATTTTGTAACAAAAAATCAGCAAAAAATTATATCCGTTTTTTCTGTCACCATGTGAGCCCAGTACCCACGGTACTAATTTTTGCAATAAAGAGTCGCAGTAAACTTTTGTCAATGGAACACCTTAAGTACAACAAAAAGTGTTCCACTGGTTCATTTACATTCAGTTTATGGTTAACATAAGTTTCAAGAGTTCCACGTATTGAGTGTTCCAATTGGAGAGGTTTTGCACTTTACAGGTTTTACTGTATAATTGGTTCAGTTGCTTCATTGCAATATAATTTACAGATCCTACTGTCAAGACCGCAACATGAAGTCAATCATAAGTGCAGACTTTGGAAAAATCATGAAAACAGCTTTTCCCAATGTGCGGAACAGGCGGCTAGGCCAGAGGGGGCAATCTCAATACTGTTACAGTGGAGTCAAGAAAAAGGTTGTATTAAAGACTCCTACGCTGCCTTGTATCGACCTGACAATGCCTAGTGAAGGCAAACAGGTACAACTCTAGAATACAACTTAGAGACTGATTATGCACTTCACCTTTTTCCTCTATCGTACAATTTATTTCACGATACTCTGTCAGTTAAGAAAAAAATCTTCCTTGGAACATGGTGCATTAAATACGCCCAAGGCTTCAAGACAAAAAACCACTATACTGGGTCATTCAATAAGTTCACAGAAACGCTGGTGCATTTAAATACCAACTCAAAGCCAAATGTTTTCAGGCACCTGCTCCCCTTGAAGAGTCTGAAGTGGACAAGGCCACCAAAGAATGTGTCTGTGAATGGGCGCAGAAACTTCTTAGTGTTAAGTTCGAATCAACGAGTCATCTTGCTGAGTACTTGATCACAAAGATGTATGTGAACCATAGGTCAAAGGCAGCCTATACTGTCATCTCAAGTCTCAAAGAGAAGAAAGATCCTAAAGCAGGTAACAAAGTTTTCTATATGTAGTCTTGCACCAATCATTAACCTCTATTTCAATACCCCTCTTACCGAGCTGGAAGCAGGACTTTTAAGGCTACTGTATATAATCAGAATTTTAAACAATGGATTGATTGTGAATATAAAACATTTTGCCTAAATATGATATTCTTCAATTTTTGAATATTTCTAGTTTCATCGACTCCCCCTAGAGTTGCTCCTGTTACCCCAAACACACACAGAGAGACACAACTTATCCTGCATAAGGCACTATTAGAACGAAGACGTAAACAAACACCATTGGCAACAATAACATCAGAGCAACAAGGTTTACAACAACAACAGCAACATATGATATCACAACCATCACATCAACAAAACGTAAAACAACAATTGAGTTCACCCAGACATATATCACAACAAACAACAACAACAACTGGCAACACATTACAACAATCGTCATCATCACATTCATACATCGTATCTCCAAGGTCAGCTAATCCAGGATCAAAATGGGAAGTTTTACTCGCTCCTAAAGTAGATCCTGAGCTGAAGGATTTACCTCAACCATTCTCTCACTCCCAAATTAAACTATCGCCAGATATCCGCAGCTCGATGACCCACACCAAGAACAAAGGGCCCAAGAAGGAATGGATGTCCATATCATCGTTAGCTCGAACAAAACCATCACAGGATGTAGAGAAACCTATAAGTTTGGAATTAAAGACTGCTTCAGAAATAAACACTAAACCGGAAGAGCTTAGACAGCCCCTAAATGAAAATGAGCGAGGGAAGGTTTTAATCACCAAATTACCACCTATTCCATATATCGACCTAACCTCTAATATACCTCTTAAACTAGATGACATTAAATCAGAAGACAAAACTAAGATTGGAAAAGAGAAATCAGAATCCACTGAAGTTTCACCTGGATGTGTTTTCAATACCTCAACTGAAAAAATGCTTAGTATCAGAGCGACCAATGCCAATGTATCAAATATTTTACCACCTGCTACCCAAAGTGTGCCAAAACCAACAGCAGAACAACAATCTGAGAAACCAACATGTGTTCAATCTGAGAAAGATTTAGTGTACGATTCCTATTTATCAAGACCATCTGGGGCTAAAGGAGGGATTTTGAAGCCCCATGAAACAAGTGCGTTTGTGCCAGTGTCAAAAGTCCAGAGTGGACCATTATCGCCAGTGTTAAAAGTCCCAACTGGTAAATGTACTTCTGGAAATTCTAAAATGCTTAGCTCTGTAACAGGGCAAACAACTATATCCAAATCATCGGAACCTATTCATTCCAAAATATTAACTAAAGATCCAGTTGTAATTCAACTACAAAACTCAACAGCGCCATCAACTGAGGAGGATGGTTTGAAAAAACTAAAAAATACTCAAAAAGAAGAAAAGATCAAACTTTCCGAACCAACTGTCTCTATAGTAATTGCTTACCCAGAACCATCTCCATCCAATCAGCTTCCAGCACAAGCAAAGACTCGTAAGGTTACAAAAAGTGCTGCCATGCAAGAACAACCAAAGAATTATCCAAAGGAAGATTCCATGCGTTTGTTTCAAGATAGCAGGCCTTTACGGGTCCTTTTACGTGAAGCTCGAAGTAGACGACAGTACAAATCCATGACAGAGAATGAAGGGACCAGTCAATCTATTGAATCATCAGAAACTGGTCCCAATGTTAGGCTCTCTGAAATAACGAAGCAAGAAGAGGAGCCTAAAGGTAATGCTAATGTGGAGAATGAATCAATTAAGAGTCACGATGCTGAACCCAAGCTTAATCCTAAACGCACTGCATCTCCAAGTGCAGCCAGCCAACATAAGAAGCAAGCAGTTATCCAAACTACCCATGAGCAACCAACTACCTCAGTTGTCACAAACGATAAAGAGAATGCAGCCAAGTTGCAAAGTACAAAATTGAACCCTGATATATTTGACTCTCCCACTCGTAGATACCTTTTATCTCTGAACATAGGAAATGCTTCCAATGTATGCGCTAATGTCCAGCTTGATTCAACAAATAAAGAAGTTCTTACGAGTGAGATCATGAAGCAGCAAAAACTTATGAGTGAAATCAGTGACAATACGTCTATAGTAGCTAATGATGGCAAGCCTATTGCTGCATCATTGGTATCACATGGTTTCTCAAAGGAGCAAATGGCTAGTACTAAACCTATGACTAGTTATAGCCAGATCAAACTGAACAAAACCAGTATAGAGCAAATGGAGAATGATGCGTTATTAGAGTATTTACAAAGTCCATCTGTACCTGCAGACCTTGCTGATATCACATCTACCATCAACATGGAAACAGATGTACATGAATCAGAGAGTCAAACTCTGACATCTATTGCCATGGAAACACCAGTTAGTACAGTTCCCCTGGAGACGAAATCAAGTTTCGATTCCAGTCTTGATCGCTTTAATCTGGAATATTTCTACAAACAACACGTCCTGGATGATAAGGAACTGAAGTCGTTGTCAGCGCCTGGTAATATACTTGCTAACCTCAATGAAAGTAGGACGAGTGGTTTGGGTTTTGATACCTCAACAGTGAAAGTCCCCCTAAAACCTGCAGTAGAGGATGTTATTTTGTCTAGAGATCAACAGACTCCTTCTCATCACTTCAGACCTGTTAGGACTCCACTCCGACAGACCAGTATTTCAGATTCATATACCTCATCTCAACAGAGCTTTGAAGTGACAAGGTTATCAAATGCTTCAGAGTCTTCGACCAATCAGGAGTTAGGACCATACCAGCCCAACTTCTACCAAGATACAAGCCTTGATGGGTTCCAATCCCAGAATGTAGATTACCAAGGATCCATGGCACATTTTCTCCAGAGAAACACTAGTACTGATCAAACTGATGGGTTACCACAGCAACTAGATACCACGTTGCCCCAGCAACCATCTCAACAAAACTGGTCTGATCTGTTTCAGAGTAACACAGCTGATGTTCAAGGCCATGGAGATTCACAGAGACCACAATCATTGTCTTATGACACACAACAAACTGTTAGAAATATCACATCTCCGCAGATCACCATGAACCCTATAGAAAGGCACAGGACACCCTTGGACCATCAGTTCTCTGTCAATCAGGATTTGAATTATCAGCCAAGCCCCGTTGAGTTTCAGCCTGATCCCTCGGCAATTAGGAGTTGTAATTCTACTCCACATTCTATCCTGTCTTGTGATGTTCCTACGGGGGGCTTAGCCATTGGTCAGAGCTTTAATAGTCCCGCAACTCTTCCCTCACCAGGCATGTCTCATCACAGTAGATGTGGTACTCCTCTATCTGTACAGTCTTTCCATGATGTCTTGTCTCCACAGGTTTCTATGACATCACCACTTGAACCTATGATGTCACCACATATGCCTTTGACATCACCTCATCAAATGATGATGTCACCTCAAATGACCAATCAGTCCCCTTCCTTCCAGATGATGACTGCAAACCCCTCATCTCATAATCCCTCTCTGAATCCTTTAAATGCACAATCCCAGTTACACCTCCAACAATCTATTTTATCACCCCAGCATGGTTTACCTAGTCCCTATAGTCAGCAGATGCATGGAGATGGGGTAAATTCTTCCATGATCCAGTCACAAGGTATGAACATCAACCCTTATATGAAGGATCCCCCAGATTACCAGACTGCCGTTCAGCAAATGCAGCAATTGAAGAGTAATTCTGACACCCCATTCTTTCCTCCCAATAAAACTATTGGTCCTGTAAGGCGAACAAGGTCAGTTGGTGGACAGTTGAAACGCGTCCGCCACTCAAGTGGATCAAACCCTACACAACAATTCATCTCGCAGAGAGTACGACACAATTCAGCACAGAGTGCTCCTGCTCCTTTAGAGTTATCACATCAACCCATTCCCCAACCCCACATGGAATATGGAAGAGGGAATCTGATACAGTCCCAGTCTAATCAGCAAGGACAGTTGCAAACTGCCATATTACAAAATATGTCTGGATTTTCTAATAAAGACCCCCTACAATATACCAAAATAAGACCCCTTCAAAGCCCCGGAGAAAGCCAATCTGATGCTCAGAATAACAATACCAGTAGCAAAACTCCTTTCAATGTACAACCCCCACAGCGACCCACTGAGCTACAATTAAACAACCCTGTCCAATCCACTCAGCAGCCCCCTAAGCAACAATTCAACAACCCAAGTGCTTATCACAGAAATCCTAATTTAGTGAGGATGCTAAATAACCAGCCCTGTCCTACACAAAGCATGGCCCAAAGGGCACCCCAAATAACACAGTTATTACGGGGCAAGCTTTCAAGTGGTCACCTTGACCTTAGAGGGCTCCACCCAAATGCATTCATTACTGATAAAGGCAATGCTAGACGGAATCTAACTGAAATATTAGAATCTGGACAAAAGCCACAAAAGTCGAAACTCGAGTGAATGACAGGTTGTCCAGAAACAATAGTGCTTAAAATGTAATGTCCTTTATTACACTCCAGTTATTTTTAATATGTGGTGTCCATAACCAACTACCTAGTGGGCTAGTTCAGCGCCCTTCTTTATGAATTTAGTACTTGTTGTAACATATATAAAGGTGCATTTTACAATGCTACATTTTTAAAGGAGCTATTTTAAGTATAATTTCCAAGTTATTTAAAAATCTGTTTTTATCGCACTTTGAAAAAGTGCTATATTGTCGTCGTCTTGTGCTGTTGGGCGGGCGGGCGTGCGGGCGGGCGGCACATAAACCAAATCTTGTCATCACATTTCCAGGATAACTGCTTACCTGTTCAACTTGAAATTTTTACAGATGCAAGAGCAGACTAGTACCAAGATCTGATTAGGTTAAGGGCATGCTGGGTAAACTACGTGGTGGCCATTTTGAATTTTTCAACAAATCTTGTCATCAAAATTCCAGATAAACCACTTATCCGTTCAACTTGAAATTTTTACAGATGCAAGAGCAGACTATTGCCAAGATCTGATTAGGTTTTGGGTATGCTGGCTTAATTACATGGTGGCCATTTTGAATTTTTCAATTTGGCGGCCATTTTGAATTTTTCAACTTGCTCCAAATTGACCACATTTTTTTGAAAAACATCTACAAGTTCTCAGAAGTTCAAATCTGACCTTACATTTCAGATTTGACCTTTCGTTCACCTTCAGTGACCTTGAAAAGGTAAAAAAAGTTGATTTTCTAAATTGATATTTTGGATTTAAATTTAGGTCAGCTTAATTACAAAACACCTACTGAGGTCTGAAAAAGTGAAATTTTCAAGGTCGAAGGTCAAGGTCATTAAACTAGGTCACAGATTTGACCTTTCATTCACCTTCAGTGACCTTGAAAAAGTCAAAAAACTTGATTTTCTAAATTGATATTTTGGATTTAAATTTAGGTCAGCTTAATTACAAAAGACCTACTGAGGTCTGAAAAAGTGAAATTTTCAAGGTCGAAGGTCATCAAATTAGGTCACAAACAATGTTATCTAAATTTTCCCAAAGTTCAAGACTACAAATAAATTCTTGTCATCAAAATTGCAGGAAAACCGCTAACCTTGTCAACTTGAAATGTTTACAGATGCAAGAGCAGACTAGTGCCAAGGTCTGATTAGGTTTTGGCCATGCTGGGTGAATTGCATGGTGGCCAGTTTGCTCTTCAAAGTGCGATATTTATCACTGAGTGTCTTGTTATGGTGATTGTTAACCCAAATCTGCTTGGAAGGCAGATTTACCATTTAGTTACTATTCTAGTAATTCAAGGCTCAAATATGAATATGATATATATATATTGGTGATAGAGTTAGTCATTTTAGGTATGTTTATATTTTATTTGTAAACTTGTTATTTGTTCACTTTAATTGTGAATGATAAGTCTTGCATCAAGACTTGTTTTCCCCTCCAATTCTCTCATAGGTTATATTATGTATGTCAATGACTCAATATATATGATGTATGTATTATAAATACATATGATGTATATAAATATATATAATGTATATATTATAAATACAAATGATGTATATAAATATATATAATGTATATATTATAAATACAAATGATGTATATAAATATATGTAATGTATATAAATATATATAATGTATATAAATATATATAATGTATATAAATAAATATAATGTATATAAATATATATAATGTATATAAATATATATGATGTATATATTTAGGAGGCTCAGAAGCTTGATGCAAGCCGAGTAAAAGATAAGTCTTTAGCAACATTCACGGTAACTATCCAGGCCCCGTATATCGCGAGCAAGCTCCTGCTAACATCGCGAGCAATGAGTTCATTTTAGAAGCGGGGCCTTGAGAGATATGATAAAATATATTTAATGTTAAAGAACGCCATTGCCCTGCAATTGAAATAGCCGTTGTACTATGAAATAAAGTTGAACTGAGTTTCACTTACTAAACTTTCATAGAAAATTTTATGTTTCACTTTTATCATATTTCTCAAGGCCCCACTTCTAACATGAGCCCATAGCTCATGATGACAGCGGGGCCTGGATTAAGTCCTTGTGAACATTAGGTACAAGTACTTAGTTAAAGTAGTATGTACGATGGTACATACAATTGGTGAAATCAATAGCATTATAGTAATTTTCTAGTATAAATGTGTTCAGAACGGTGCCAAGTAACTCTGAAAATAGAATGTATATATATTCCTGTGTTCATATATACGTAAGTCAAGATTACACTATATTGTTGGTATTTTTTAATACTATACAGTTATATGTTCAGAATCCATGTGTTCCACAAAATATCAGTCACTGACATCTGTTAATACCATTGCTTTTCCACTTCCTGCATGCATTTCATGATATTTCATCTGCTGCTTGTTTTGGAATATGCTTCAAATTAGAAATGAAATATGTGGTCAACTTAGAAATATCTGTTCAATTTAGAAGTGAAATGAATGTGTTCATTTTATAAGTAAAACATGTGTTCAACTTATAGTGAAATGAATGTGTTCAAGTTAGAAGTAAAATATGTGTTCAACTTATAGTAAAATATTTGTTCAACTTAAAGTGAAATGAATGTGTTCATTTTATAAGTAAAATATGTGTTCAACTTAAAGTGAAATGAATGTGTTCATTTTATAAGTAAAATATTTGTTCAACTTGTAGTGAAATGAATGTGTTCAAGTTAGAAGTAAAATATGTGTTCAACTTATAGTGAAATATTTGTTCAACTTAAAGGGAAATGAATGTGTTCATTTTATAAGTAAAATATGTGTTTAACTTATAGTGAAATGAATGTGTTCATAATATATGTGTTCGACTTATAAGTAAAATATGTCCTCTATAAGTTTTTACAACTTATGTTTTACCTTTGAAAAAAAAGTCATTTTAGAATCATGTTCAAATTCAATTAAAGGTTTGCTGTAATTTTTTTACTTTTTACTAACAAAATGCATAAAAGCATAAATAAATGTTAGTATGAAATAATATGTTCAATACCATGGATGATTATTCTGAATCTCCTATACGTTGTCTCAAAATTGTCTCTCTGTCAAAGTTTTGCAGTTATATTTTTATGAATTCAGTATTCATTGGATTTGTATATATTTGAGGGCAAAAAGTTACCATAAACATTGTCTCACTAAAAGATTTAATTGCCGGTGATTCCAAAATATCACAAGATTCCTAGACTGAATATAGAAGTATCATGTTAGATTATAGCATATAGAATGTGTATTTAGTCCCTGAGCTGCTCAATGAATTGTCAATGTCCGGTATTCCACCACGAAAACTGAACATACCATTTGAAAGTACTAATTTTGACACCATTTGATAGCATGTATATGTATTCAGGTTTTAGGCTATTATAAAGATGGCAGCAATAGTAGAATTCTAATTTCACCCAAATGTGATAGACATTGGTTTCACTACCATTTTTTGTAAAAATTATTTCTATCATCCTTTAGCCTGTTTGCATCTCATCTTACCATGAATGTTGTTTTATATGACATGTTGCCTTATTCAAAAAGTCTTAAATATTTAAGGTACCTTGTTGTCAAGGTAATCTTGAAAATATATATATTTTAGTGTTTGATATGGAAATAATGATACAGTGAAACAGCTTTACTGTAGGAGTTATATGTAATATATAGCGTAGGCATTTTGGTACAAATATGATGTTACTGAAAGACTTAAGATAAAATTGTGATATATTTTTAAGATTAAATATTATTAGTTTATGAACTGTAATTTGGCCATCTTTTGTTTAATTGTGGATCTCATCTTGTCAGCATATTCTTCCAATACCTGTGTGGAGTTCCCCAGGCTTGGTGTATATACACTCCCCTCCATAAGTTTGGAAACCAGGCTTGGTGTATATACACTCCCCTCCATAAGTTTGGGAACCAGGCTTGGTGTATATACACTCCCCTCCATAAGTTTGGGAACCAGGCTTGGTGTATATACACTCCCCTCCATAAGTTTGGGAACCTGTCAATGTTTGAATTGTTCCTGAACTATAATATACATAATTTGGAAAGGACGATTCTCGGTTTGGAGAACAGTCTCCTGGGCTAATAATTTTTTTCATGAAAAATATAGAAATATTACCCAAATTAAACTATGAATATTCAAAAGAGGACATTTAAATCTACAAGATGTAAAAATAACAAATTGGTCAGAAGCAAGGATAACGCTCAATTAGACCGATTCAATAAAATACAAGTCTCGATTTGGGGAAAGAAGTTTATCAGTGTACTGCGCTAATATTTTTTTGCGAAAAATCTATATATATTACCCAAATTAAATTATGACTATTCAAAAGAAGACATTCAAATCTATATTATGTAAAAAAAATCAAATTTGTCCGAAGCAGGGATAATGCTCATTTAGATTGATGAACTTTGTTCTCCAAACCGAGAATCATACTTTATGACAAATTGATGAAATTTCTGAATCACCAAACATTAACAAGTTTGACAATTGATCCAAAAAGAGACTTCCAGTTGCTAAAGTTATATGGGGGGGGGGGTTTACTGAGGCTTAGCTTATGAAAGAAAATGCCATTCCAATTTCATTTCATACCCACTGTGCATAAGTCTAACAATTTTATAAGTTCATTTTCCAGATTAGGAGTAACAGTAAAGTTTCAAAATTGCTAAATTATTAATTGACCAAAATTTTCAAATTGAGGAATGAGTTACCCTTTCCTTATCATTTCAAGTGTTATCTTATTACCAAACAAGTATAACATTACATTTTGTAAATACCAGTAGGGTATATTTTTCTGTGAAATTACTTCAACAACCTCTGAATGATTGTTTACATCTCATTTATTTTAAATTACAGTCTTTTGTATCGTGATGAAATCACTATTTATTAAGTTTGTCTATTGATATCAATCATAAAACAATTTCTAACACGAAAAATTAATTGATTTGATCATGAGCACTCTTAAACAAGATTTTAACATGATTTACTTGAGTTAAAAGTACTTGATTGGTGAGTTTTAGGAAGGGTCTTCTTATTTTGTATGAGAATTTAGTACCTAAAAGCCACAAAATAATCCAACAATTTGTAAAATAAGATTGAGTCCACAAGCGCTACTTTATAATAACAATACTATGCAGACTGTTCTTTCAAATAAATATATTTACATGAACTATATACAACATAGCATGAACACATTTAGTATTCATACAGAAATACTATTCTAGTATGCGATATTACATAATGTAAAACGTAATTATTCCTTATGTTGATACATGTGCCTCTTTGTCTTGAACTTCCACAGATTAAGGTAAACATTACATTGCCTCATACAAGTTAGCATGGATATAATACGGTCCAAATTATTAACATTCATTAAATAATTTTCCAAAACAAGTGAATACAGAAATTTCTAAAACATTTAACTACCCCAAAACCAGGTTTTTCATATTTCCCTTGCTAGATTGCATCTGAGCATTAAATAATAATGCCATGAACCAAAAATGGATTCAAACATCACCAACCCCATTTTCAACTTCTTTTAATGTGGATTTGTCATTTCCTTGTTCCCTTGCAATTTTGTGCATCATTTGACATTCTTAGCACTGATACATTTAACAACACCTGACAACTAGTCACAAAACTAAACAACATAAAGATTAAAATAATATATGATGCATAATAATATGTGTATAAAAACATGTACATGATAAATTCTCAGCACGCTGTCTATCTTATTTTAATCAACATCAAAAGTAGGCAAAATTCTTTTAAAAAAAATCTTGTATTAAATCATTTTGTCCTTCAACCTAAATAAAGGCATTGAATCATGTGGCACGTTTACTCCATTGCTAGACTCATGTATCGGTAAAATGACAAGATCTTTTGTTGTTGTAACTATTGAACATTTCTTCTTTATGAAGAGACATGATTTGTCAGGCAATTTTGATCACTGACACATTGCACGATTTGTTTATACTTTGAGCCACCATTGTAACATACAGAATACAACAAGCATAATAAAATTTACAGAATTACACAACAAAATCTAGAGTGCATGTGTATGATGTATAACTAAAAAAACAGCAATTCCTCGAAGTTACCAATCCAATCAACAAGAAACATGTATTTTATCAAATCATTTTGAACTTTATATGTTAGGAATTACCAGGCAGTAGTACTGTCTCCTGGCAAAATCTTCACAGCTGATGAAACTTAATCGTGCTAATTATGTGATCACGTTTGTGACAATATAACAAGTGATAACGTTTACATGGAAGAGTTAAAAGGTATATGTCAGTCAGTTCATAAGATTTACAATTCATATAATATACAAAAAATGTCAACAATCAGTTGCTACTTACAAAGTGACAGCTATGTGAATAACATTCATAGAACTTTGACATCAACAAGTGAAATTCTAAAGGTCTAATTTCTGAGAGTCCAATATAAATCACATTTTTGGAAGGCATCACTTAACATACTGACATCCTGTATAGTTTTATGATGTCATTACCTCATGACACTCTTGACATGATGACATTATTTCTGGTATATTACAGGGAAGCTTTCCATACTGTACTATCATTAAAGATACATACAGATACACACATCATTTATAACAATATGACATCACTCTTGACAGTCTTTCAACATCCTTAAATCATTAACTCAATATCACATTTGGCTGTCTCATAAAACAAAATGACAACATCTAAGATTGTCTGACACCATGCGGCCATTAAACACTATGACATCATTTATGATTGTCTAACATGATGTGTTCATTAAACACAATGACATCATTTATGATTGTGTAACATGACATGTTCATTAAACACAATGACATCATTTATGATTGTGTAACATCATGGGTCCATTAAACAGAATGACATCATTTACGATTGTCTAACATCATGTGTTCATTAAACACAATGACATCATTTATGATTGTCGAACATGATGTGTTCATTAAACACAATGACATCATATTTGATTGTCTAACATACAAATGGCAGTCCATAAGTCCCAGACATGGCAGGATTTCTAAAACATCATACATCCATTCTATATGGCCTACATTGCCATCAAATCTGCTAAATAATAGGCCAGTATTAACAAGAACATTTGAACACCTTCGTTTCATGAGATCCTGACTCCATACTCCAGTGTGTTAGGCTTACATTGCTGGCAGTTCTCTGGAACCTCTTGGCCTGCAAGTAAAAAGATATTCTAAAGGGATACACAAGGTATTTTTCACAACTTAAAGCAGATATGAAATGGTATTTTTAACCTAAAGGAATCAATATAATTTTTTGATAGATGTATTTGGACATGTTTTCTCATCAGTAGTGTGAAAACTATTTCACTCTAACGATCGTTATAGCTGCTTAATAAGCAATATTCGAATTGGTTGTGACGTTATTGGCCCCCACGTGATCTCTCACTGGCCCCCACGTGGCCCATTTTGGTCCATTAGATCATGGCGTCATAATGCCAAAATGTTTTGTTATTTGTTTACACAACAATCCTATGGTTGCCGTGGCGTTGTGATTACTATGGAACCAATAAACCAAAACTAGATTTTGTATATGACGTTACTAATCACGTGGGGGCCAATTTGAGTTATCGGTTAGTTTTATTTCGTTATCTATGACCGTTAGCAGTTATCTAACATTTATTTTATAATGGCTATCGCAAGAACTCTACGTTGGGCTTACAATGGAAAAACCGCATTTTTGTAGCTGCAAGTTGAGAAAAGCTATTTCAGTTGTCCTTTAACTGAAATAGTACTTAAATATTGTCTTCACCTTTTGCCATTTTAAGTGAAAAACTACGAGAACATTGTCTTAACCTTTTGCCATTTCAACTGAAATAGTACTGAAACAATGTCTTACCCTTTTGCCATTTTAACTGAAAAAGTACTAAAACATTGTCTCAACCTTTTGCCATTTTAACTGAAATAGTACTAAAACACTGACCGACCCTTTTGCCATTTTAACTGAATAACTGAAAAAGTATTGTCTTACCCTTTTCCCATTTTAACTGAAAAGGTACTTAAATATTGTCTAACCATTTTAACTGAATAAGTGCTAAAACATTGTCTTACCCTTTTGCCATTTTAACTGAAAAAGTGCTAGAACATTGTCTTAACCTTTTGCCATTTTAACTGAAATAGTACTAAAACATTGTCTTAACCTTTTGCCATTTTAACTGAAATAGTACTAAAACATTGACCGACCCTTTTGCCATTTTAGCTGAAATAGTACTAAAACATTGTCTTACCCTTTTGTCTTTGATATCTTTAATTTTGGTGGCAATGTGTTGGAACACTTGGTCTACATTTATGTTGGACTTACAACTGGCCTCAAAGAAATCCAGACCAAAGTTTTCAGCAAGCTGAAAAATTGAATATTCATTTTAAAAATGTTAATAAGTATCATGTCTGAAAATAAAGATGTCACTCTCAAAAATTAATTTAACCAGGAGCTCCAGGTCCTTCGAGAGTTGTATTTCCATGGCGACAAAAAATCATAATGAGTTCACATAAAACTTTTCATTAATGCATATGTTGTCCAATGTTTACGACCAACAAGTTTTCAAACTCATAGCTGTGAAACTGCTAATGGCAATCAGTTTTCACTCTTGGCAATGAACTTGGAAAAACGAGTTGTTTATTTGGCAATCGACCGATTCAATGTCAATATTGGGCAATCATATTTTCAACATTTGTTTTGATCCCTGATTAGGGTGGCTCAAAATCACATTTTTTGAAAATTCGTCATGAATTTGGTTTTCTTTTGGACTAATTTTTTTTGACAACTAAAATATTTGCTATTTACTTTCTTTCCTCTTTCTTCGTCCACAGCTCTACAGAGGTATTTGTCACACTTGTTACCCACCAGTACAGTACAGGTGTCAGGTGGCGCCATCTAAACAATAAAAAAAATATGATAGAATAGATAAAGGTTATTAATAGGAGGGATCAAATATGAATTTTATTCCGAGGGAAAACATGATATTGGCGAAGGAAAATATCATATGGACTGAATGTCTAAGAGGCCAATATCATATTTTCTCAGGGAAAAAATTCATATTCATTCACGACCACCCTATTTATCACTCAATGATGGATGGTGACACAAAATGATACAAATATAGGTTATTTACTGGGAGGGATTGAATATGGGTTTTATTCCGAGGGACAATATGATATTGACCGAAGGGTAATATGATATTGACCGAGGGAGCGCAGCGACCGAGTGTCAATATCATATTTCCCAAGGTCAATATCATATTTTCCGAGGAATGAAACCCATATTTAATCCCGACCAGAAATAACCTATTTATTCCATAATACATTCCTCTAAAATGTTACATTTTGAAAATGCTTTTATCAATTAGCTAAGGTTAAAAATAACAGGAAAACCAAAAAAAATAGGTTATGGGTTATAGGTTAAATAGATTTTTTCATGTAATACGCTCCAATACGATTTTTTTTCCCGGGGACAATACGATTTTTTCATGTAATACGATTCAATACGATTTTTATTCCTTCATATTTCCCTGGGAAAACAGTAGTATTATTGAATAATTTGATTTATCATATAACATTTTCATCTTTTTTTAATTTTTAAAGTTTTTCAAAATATTTTTGTTTTAAAAAATAAAAAAAGATTGAAGAAATGTAAAACTTCAAGAGAAATCCCCGGGAATAGTTCTGATAAGGGATCTAATAGGGGAGTTCTTGTTTATTGCACAAGGAAAATATGGTATATGATCTACAAACTGTACTTACTTGATCTATGTACTTACGTTTTCAATACTTTCTATCCATTTTGTGATGTGGTTGAATGTGACGAGATTTGTAATGTCATACATCAGGATTATACCCTGAATAGAAAACAGAATATAGTTTAAATTATAAAAATTTAATAAATACAATAAAATGTGCACTGATTAAAGTGAATGCAATGTCAAATACAAGGTTTACATTGTTTAGAAACAATCAACTTTTCAGAAATAGAAATTGGATAGATGGCATTCATCTGTTGCTACCATTTAGTGGGAGCATTTTTTGTGTAAACGTTTTGTTGGTGGGATTTCCAGACCAGGATTAATGCAAGCCATAGCCTGATAGTTGATATCTAGTTATACACTATATATTGTATTTCAATTAAGTCCAATGTATATACAAAATAAAGGTTCAAAGTACGCTGGGTTATTTTGATAATTTCTTCATTTTACATTAATTGGATGTAAATAAAATAAATGTTACTTTCTCACTTAAATAACTGAAAAATGTGGCCTTCTTAAAATATTAATGAATAAATTCCCAGGCCTTGAAGTTATATTGACTAATGCCCTTGTTGCCATGGCTTAGTATAACAGATAATATTCAAGGGTTATCATTTTAAAATGTTCAAATTCACACATCTGTATTTTAAAAGACTGAACAAATAATTTATTTTGACTATGAATTGAAAAGTATTGTTTGAGAACATCAACAGTAAAATTAAATTTGATAAATACCATCCTGAAAATGCATTCATAATGTTAATGTCCTCAAAAGATAAATATCTCCAAAAGCAAGTTGGCATTTTTATAAATAAAGCATTCAAGGTCATTGAACTTGTCTGAAGAATATTCTGGATGCATCACACTGCTTTAAGTATTATGTACAGTTAAATACATTTTAATAACATGTTTTTGTATATACTATATTTGTATAATAATAGTGTAGTGTAGTGTAGTGTAGTGTAGTAAGCTTTTATTTTTGTACTGACTAATATGTCATGCCATGACATTCTAAGAGTCAATAAAAGATATATATATTAACATGACCGAAATACATGTACAATCAGGGGAGTAATCAAAATTAGGAGATTTAAGAAGTATCATTTGAATATTATGGATGTAACCATTGTTCATGAAGCACTCAGGAGCCAAATATTACATCACATATATATCACTAACCACGTTTCTAAACATAAGATAATATTACAAAACTAAGCATGTTTCTAAACATAAGATAATATTATAAAATAACCACGTTTCTGAACATAAGATAATATTATAAAACTACCCACATTCCTAAACATAAGATAATATTATAAAACTAAGCAAGTTTCTAAACATAAGATAATATTATAAAATAACCATGTTTCTAAACATAAGATAATATTATAAAACTAACCACGTTTCTAAACATAAGATAATATTGTAAAACTAACAACGTTTCTAAACATAAGATAATATTATAAAACTAACCATGTTTCTAAACAGAAGATAATATCATAAAACTAACCACGTTTCTAAACATAAGATAATATTGAAAAAACTAACCACGTTTTTAAATATAAGATAATATTGTAAAACTAACCATGTTTCTAATCATAAGATAATATTATAAAACTAACCACGTTTCTAAAGATAAGATAATATTATAAAACTAACCACGTTTCTAAACATAAGATAATATTATAAAACTAACCACGTTTCTAAACATAAGATAATATTATAAAACTAACCACGTTTCTAAACATAAGATAATATTACAAAACTAAGCATGTTTCTAAACATAAGATAATATTATAAAATAACCACGTTTCTAAACATAAGATAATATTATAAAACTAAGCAAGTTTCTAAACATAAGATAATATTATAAAATAACCATGTTTCTAAACATAAGATAATATTATAAAACTAACCACGTTTCTAAACATAAGATAATATTGTAAAACTAACAACGTTTCTAAACATAAGATAATATTATAAAACTAACCATGTTTCTAAACAGAAGATAATATCATAAAACTAACCACGTTTCTAAACATAAGATAATATTGAAAAAACTAACCACGTTTTTAAATATAAGATAATATTGTAAAACTAACCATGTTTCTAATCATAAGATAATATTATAAAACTAACCACGTTTCTAAAGATAAGATAATATTATAAAACTAACCACGTTTCTAAACATAAGATAATATTATAAAACTAACAACGTTTCTAAACATAAGATAATATTTTAAAACTAACCACGTTTCTAAACATAAGATAATATTATAAAACTAACCACGTTTCTAAACATAAGATGATATTATAGAACTAACCACGTTTCTAAACATAAGATAATATTATAAAACTAACCACGTTTCTAAACATAAGATAATATTATAAAACTAACCACGTTTCTAAACATAAGATAATATTATAAAACTAACCACGTTTCTAATCATAAGATAATATTATAAAACTGAACACATTTCTTAACATGAGTTTGTCTGCCATTTGACCTTAAATGATTCAAAACAATATTCACAATTAAGTTTTACATCAAAAGGAAAGGTGAACTTGTCCACTTTCTTCCTAAAACTATATATGATATGGGTGTTTGATTTTGAAATAGTTTTTACCTTTTTAGTCCTTTTTCTACAGATTTACAGATTTCAACACTCAATGAATTTAAATACATATTCTTTGAGTAAATGATACTGACAAAAAGAGGGTTAATAAATGTTTAGATAATATACCTTATCAACTAAATAGTGAGACTATTATCATATAAGAAGGTTAAGTTGTAGAGGTGAAGTGTTCTGGCCAGGGATAAGTAGGGATTAATATTGCTATATGATAAAGCATGCTAGGTTTAACATTATTCAGAATAAATAATGTTTGCATAACAAGCATACAATATAACTGTAAACAAGTGAGGTTTCTACCAGTACATGTATATGGTTGTTCTCCCCTCTGCCTGCTATAGCCCAAGATTTCCATATATTGTGCCTGTTTTTATTAAATTGTCCAACAGGGGGAAGGAATTTTTGTCAAAGAGTGGAAAATTAGAGATGTGAAGCATGGTTTTGCAATCTAGGTATCAGGTTATTGCATCCCCTTCCCCACTGACCATCCCTGTGCACTTGAATAGCCTCCCCATGTGCTTTTTCCACACATATTCATCAGGAAATTGTGAGGGAGCCAAAGATTTATTTTTGAGAACACCTTTCTGCCTTTCCAAAAACAGAAACCAATTTTCTAAAACAAGGCACATTTTCTATATAATGCCTGAAATGATCAATTTACAGATTCAAAATGAAAAAATATATTGGTCCCCCAGTTCCTCCAGTGTTACTTGCCCTACGCTTAACATAGACACACAAGTCAAGTCAAGCACAAGTAGCAGTTAGAACAAGTATGCAATTAAATTAAAAAATGTCCTTTGACATGTAACACCTAACAATGTGAGAATGAATCACATTTGTTCTTGAAAAATACAATTGTGTCTCATGTAACATTCGAGTAAATCAAGAGCCTCATATAAAAACAATCGAGTCAACGTTTAGCATGTATTCCACCCCATGCAGACAGATCACCTAAAATTACATTTGTATGATGCAAGACTCGACTTTCACCAGGAAACTAGAAACATTTTGCCACCCATGAAGCAAATCAATTTTTTAATGCTCAATTAATGGTGAATGACAGTCAAATTAGGTTCTATAAGAATGAGAATAGAATGACGTCTTGATATTTCAAGGTAACTTGTTTGAAACGTGATGGCGGTGATTGAAATTATGATGTAAAGATAAAACCGCAACAAAATATTTGTAGATATTATTTGAAATATACATCACATATCAAATTTTCCGAAACAGAAAAAAACATGTATAAAAAGTAAGGCCTGTAGGTCAGATTCCCCTTTCCGCATTAAGATACCAAGACTGTCATTCACCATTTATTAAGCAGTAAAAAATTGATTTGCTTCATGGGTGGCAAAATGTTTCTAGTTTCCTGGTGAATGTTGAGTCTCGCATCATACAAATGTAATTTAAGGTGATCTGTCTGAATGGGGTGTATTTGTGAATGCAACTTTTGGCATGCAACTTTTGGCTGTCAGTTACCAGATTAACCAACTCTTTTATGGCAAACTTATTTAATGAATGGAATAGTGGCAGGTACTATATATTCCTATTTAAATGAGTTAGTCATTAAATAGGGGGTTAATCTGGTAGCTGACAGCCGAAAGATGAATACTAGCTCAGAACAGTGTACATGTTTCACAGCACAATTCGCCAGGAAATATTTGCTCTGTCCATTAAATTTTGGTCTGAATTTATTTAACCCACTTTCACATTAAGTTTATTGAAGGCAATCTGGAAAAGATAGTAATCTTGTCTAAGGCAGATCTAAATGATGAGGATTTTTATGTTATTTTCATGATAATGATTACTGTAAATCATTAATTAGTTAATAACTTATGAAAAAGTTTATGTATTCATATTTTTATGAAGATATTTACTTTCGATGAGATGGAATTGGACCAATATGAACAAGATACATATTCCCTTACTCTAATTCAAACAATATGTAAATTAGCTTCTCTCAACTGGGAAAAGGTAAAATGTTGCGAATGCAATCAGCATGTGAGCTAGAATTTGAATAATACAATGTATTTTAATTTTGAAATCTTACAGAGCATAATAGAAACTTTGATATGCAAGTGCTTTTGGTTCATGCAAGTCAATTCATAATTCATGTTCAATATCCTTTATATTCATGGTCAATACCTTTTATATTCATGTTCAATACCCTTTATTAAATTCATTCAGACTTTGTTTCTTTTGTGAGCTTTGGCTTTTTTGCTCAAGTCACTGGGTACAAATTCAAGACTTCAAAGAAAAGATGTTATGTATCTTTATTTCCTCTGGTTTTGGAGAGAATAATGAAATAGTTATACAATAAACATTCAAATTCAGTTTAGAAATATACAGAAAGTTGACTCGCTCATTAAATATAGCAGGCTGATTTAATATTTACAAAATGCTCTAATGCCGATTAGATGCATTTTTAGTCATCTGGATCACATTTCAAATATCAAAGCATTA